GAAAAATTCTGAATTTGTTGTGGTTTAATCTGGATATAATCAAAGCACATCGAATCCAATTATGCTTTTTTCCAGCGATGAATTGACTTCGTTACTTACGTCTTTATGACAATTCATTTTAAATGCGTTTGCGCGTTCAATGACAACAATCTCTCTATAGACGGCACGAGAGAGAAAGAGAGAGAGAGAGCTGAGTGTATGCGCGAATGTGCGCACACGAGGAACAAAAAAAGTGAAACGCGCTCAAACAGCGAATCGTGTTATTTTGAAATATTTTGCGACTGCCAACACAGGAAGTCAACAATAAAATGTTTTCACAATGAACGAAGCGTTTGTGTTAACTCAAGAAGGTTTAATCTCGGCTTCACTCTCTCTCTCTCTCGTCATTCTTATGTGCTATTATTATATTTCCCTGGTTTAGCTGTGTGGTGTGTGTGAGCTCCTTAAACGCATCACATGGCATTAGTGCGTTTACAAGTATTACTCGACAGTCAACCTCGATCCTATCAGCATCATTGAATTCCGATTTGCGTGTTATCAAAAGACACTTCAGCATCTCATGTTTTTTGCAGCTCTGTACCGCTCTTTCTCTCATTCTGTCTTCTGTTCTATCCCTCTCTGTTCCTTCGGCATTTTCTCTTCGTGCGCTGTTTGTATGTGCTCCACAATTTGAACCGATATCTCAAGTGGGAATTGATTGACGGCGTGTGCATTCGAGATTATAAAATTTCGATAATAATTGAAAATATAACAATAACACACAACTCATCAAAATTACCGCACGTACCATCGAACCACTGGAAAAAGTACACGGTCGAAGCGAGGCCAACAAAAAACAACCGTCGATCGGATATGGAATGTGTGCTCAAAAAGGAAACAAAAGTAGCTCTCTTTCTCCAACATAACAAATTCTTGATCACGTTCTCTTTGCCAACGGTACAACATGAAAACACCACTTATGAAACGAGAGAGAGAGAGAGAGAGAGAGAGAGAAAAAAGAGATGCTACAACCATTCCATCGATTATGTGTTGTTGTTTTTTTCTTCTGCTGTGCTCGTGTTGTTGCTCATCAAATTTGTGCCGGTTTTTGAAGTTTTGCTGATGGATTTTTGGTAGACGATTAGGGGCGCTTTTTTGTGTATAAATCACGTAGAAATGTGTATCAATTGAGCGCTAAAATATTTTGTAAATCAAGGTTTATTCCGTTCGAAAACATGGCTTTGTTGTCAACGCGAACACGCTCGTGAAAAAGAATAGAAGAGAGAAAAAAAACACCCACCAATTCAATACTATGCAACACGAGCTGTGTAAATCGGCTCAGCGTCGTCACGGTTCGGTTCACCTCTAACAAGCGATTTCAATTGTGTCTCTTTTTTTTTTCTTCGAATCAGCAAAATGGGATTTTGCAACTGTGAATCGACGCATTGTCATGAAGTAGAACAACAGGGAAAAAAGTGTTCATAGCATGAGCATGATTTGAATTCCGAATGCATTCCGATGGCATTTTTTGTTTTATCAAATGCCATAAATATTTTACGGCTCACTTTGGTTTCTTTCAAGAACAACACTGGATTCCATTGCCTCGAAACAAACGAAACAAAAGCGTTAAATGAACATGTGGTTTATCGCGCGAACACAAATCGACTTACCAAGCCAACCCGGAAAGATTTATGTTCTTGATATATACGTATATACATATATTTTGTCTGTTTTTCATATGAAGTCCCACCTTTTTCTCACGCGCACGCATCTTATTTAAACGTACACACATTTTGTTTGCCGATGTGGTATCGGAATAGAGTGAAGTGTTGAGCGCACACAAACACCGTTTGTTGTCGGGGAAACGAAGCCGAAAATGAAAAGCGCATTCATTGGCTCGGGCGTAGAAAGTAATAAAAATATTTGTGTATTCTTGGTAGGTTGGTATCGGGAGAGTGAGCGATCGAGCGCATGAATGCACATACAGAGTGGATAGAGAGAGAAACCGACACAAAAAAGAAAAATATAAACAAATTGCTTCCGAAAATGTTAAGCCGTTAGCAAATCCAGTGCTTAACACCCAGGGAAACTCTCTTTTTTTTCTCTCTCAGTGAAACTGATCGGGGGCAATTGTAAAAATGCTTTGTATTGTGGTCGAAACAACATGCAAACCATCATAAAAAAAGAAGTGCCAATTCTAATTTTTGCATCACATTTTCAAGAATCGATCGAGACAATTCGATACGATGAAACCACATGGATTTAAAGAAGAAGAAGAAAAAGGGGCAGAAGACAAAGTACTCAATATTTCAATTTTATGACACGATCGATGTTTGGATGACTTCGTTACACGTTTTCTCGATTTTTGAATATAAACAGCATTTTTATGTTTAACATACCAATAATTGGCTTAATTAGTTTATGACACGATCGAGTGGATACGCGACTAGGCTTCTTCGTTTCGACCTTTTTAAAATATTCAATAATCGTTTGCTCGAAATGCCATCGTTCATCATGAAATTTTTATTACCTATAAAAAGTTCTTGTGTGTCGAAATGTCCGTCCAAATTCAAATTCGTCATCAATTTTATTCAACATGGCATGGAAAAAGAAACACTTTTTTATTATGTGTATTTTGTCAGTTTCAGTTTAAACAAAATGGTTTCTCTTTCGGTGGCCTTTGAATAAACTTACCGTCGGCTTGTACCTTCAAATAAATTTACCAATGACTGAAAGTATATAAAAACGGAATTGACTTGGATTGTCCATACAAAATTCGATGAATGAATCGAAATCGTAAATGAATTTTTTTTTCTCTGAGTCGTCGTCGTTGTCGATTCGTAAACGGGCCCAATCAGAAAATAAAAATGGAAATTCGCCAGTTGCTGACATCAAGCGAGTGACGTGCCACGTTAGTCGAGTGATTTATGGCAAACGATATAAACGTCGTGGCGCATTCATCACACACGAGCAAAAGGGTAAACGAGCAAAAACCAGTTATAAAGCTGCCAGATAATTATGATGCGTTTATCATGTGTTTGTTTTCATTTTTGGTGTGTTGCGAATCAGTTGGCTTAGTTCTTCCGATTTGTTGTTTCTTTCCCGAACGGCAAAAATCATATTTTGACGCTATTTTGTTCATATACCATTGCCCTCATTGATTATTGACTGTTCACTTTGATTCTCTCGGTCGTCGCATACACGTATATATATCCTTTCCACGCATTTGCACAACATGTTCCGCATTTGAGTGTGGCAACAACCGAAGCGAACGAGCACATAATTTTCTTTGAAATGTGTTTATATTTATTTGGAATCCACAATTCCATTTAATCTGTATAAATAAATGTATTTGAGACGATTAATTTAAATTGAAAGTTCCGTCTTTCGGAATTAGTTTACAACAACGAGCGAGAGAGCGCAAGTAGCACTTAAAATAGCTTCGAGGCAATTTTCGGTGAAGTGAATAGAAGCAAAAGACGTTTTACTTTACAGCTCTCATTCTCTCTCTCTCTCTCTGGCTCTTTCTGTATCGGTCTCTCTCCCGGTATGAAACTTAAACGAATGTGTGTTATGCACAGCAATTTATCGTTTAAACAATCGTTTATCAAGTCTTTATCTTGTTAAGTGTTTACTCGAAAAATCACATACAAAACTGCCGAATGCGAGAGTGTACTGCTTGCCATCGCCGACATAATCCTGTACAAAGCGGGCGGCTTATAGTGGTTCTTGCCCGATAACCGACAATGAATATGTGGGAGAATCATTATAATTTTTCGCATTCCTCGCACATACGCGCTGGATTAACTGCACTTGATTTCGATGGAAAATGATGATAACAAACAACCGACGACTCTTGATGAGATATAATGATGGCGAGATGATTTTTAGCGGGGTTCAACAAGGTAATGCAAATTCGTTTGAAGAGCAAGTAGCTCGCGTCTCACTCAATGCGTAAACAAACAAATTTGTGTGCTTATTGTATGAATTATGTTATTAGACTAATCGCAATATTGGATAAACACGCCAGGTCACATGTGCAATCGTGGAAATAAACACACACATGGGAATGACTTAAGATCCTCTTACTATATGAAACACTCAAGACAGAGAAGAAAAAAAAACAATCAACTGAATAAAAAGTTTCAATCCAATATGATTGACTTACTTTAATTACATTTTTGACACTTGAGAAAAAAAAAACAAAGAGGTTCAACAGCAGAAACATAAAACGACAGACAGAGACTATGACACATTTTGACTTCGTCCAAAATTTCCTCTGATAAATATTTACACGTTGACACTTTAGTGTTTAGCGATTTACATAATAACGAACGCGAAAATAAACACAGACAATTTATTTGTGGTTTGCTTCAATTTGGTGAACATTGAGAATTTTCAACCAGCTCCATTCACTTCATACCTTTTAACAACGGATTTTAGATGCTTTGGAAATATATTTGGAAACCATTCAATTGCATTAGTTAAACTATGAAGAGGCGCCATCTTTTGTGGCCGACATTCACATTTAAGCATGAAAGAAGAAGAAAGTTGATTTCAGCGAGAGACTTAAAAAGCCTCGTAGAAAACGGTTATTTCGAAACTTAGTTCTACCTCTAGAACTTCTATGCTCTAGATAATATTTCAGGCAAAAATTACCATTGTTCAGCTATTGAATATGCCAATACCAAAGCTAAGTTTTTGTATCCAAATCATGCTATTTAATCATATCTGTTTTTTAACGAACATATAAAAAATGTTAGAAAAAAAGACATTTTGTTCTCAGAACTTTTGCTCTATTTTAGTTGAGCAGACCCATAATAGTTCAAACATCTTTATCTTTAAACGCAGCAAGAAAAAAAATGATTTCTTTGTTGAGCTTTGAATAATTTTGCTGTTTGAAATGAAAAATGGACACTTGAAAGCCACCATTTCAGACATTTTGTATGGGAAATCAAATATTTGATTGAAAATGGGTGGATTGTATATAGTTTATAGAACGAGAAAGAAAAATGCTTGACTTCATTGTGACAACTGTTGTTATTTATTTCTCAATAAAGTAAAATTAACCCAACTATTACGAATAACAAAAATGATTTGTCTGAACTTCGAGAAGCAGAAGAGTAATATGGATCGTAAGGGTAGGGTTGACCATATAGATCCAATTGATTGTCCATCGTTGAATCCGGCTCCTCCATTGCCGATGAGCTAGAGTCATCGTAGTAACTGTGTTCGTTAATTTCTTCGTCTGTGCTTTCCGTCGAATAATTTGGAAGTTCAACTAAAGAAATGATGAAATCAAGTTTAAACAGAATGAAGAGAGAAGTGAAGGAAAATAATCAGTTTCACAGAGGAAAAAAAGAAACGAAAAAATATGATCAAACTACTTTAAATAATTTCAATGTTTCTTCTCAGAAGAATCTTCTGAATGCTTGTTTTGTGACTCACTTTCGCCAGATGTTGCAAATCGTACGATGCGACTGGAATCACTCCAACCGAATCGATTGCGTGAGACAACGGCCACTTCGTAGACACTGGCTGGTTCCAGTCCCCTAAGTGTATATCCCGTTGTGTGTATTGGGCCTGCAATGTCAAATCATTGTCATTTTTTAATTAAAAATTCGAATGAAACCGCAAATAAAATGGGGCGTGCAATTAGCAATGAAAAAGTCTGCACATTTTACCTTCAGATTCTTCGGCGGGTACGATAATTTCATGCCAGGCGGATGCGTGTTTGCGATTGTGCGGTGTAACATTGCCGGAAGGAATTTTACGGAATTTCAATTTGTGCTCAAAAATCGGTGACAAGCTCTCTGTTTGCCAGATCAAATAGTGTGCTATGTGATCCTGTGTCTGTGGCGATCGTTTGAAAATCGGTACCATCGGTCGACCGGTCACTTCAATCGATGCCCCATTAATGCCGATGGCATTTTCAGCACGACAATCATACATTCCAAAGTCAGTTTCCTTGACGTTTCTTATGATCAGTATGTGCTTGGTATCGGTGTGATAATCGTCGACCGTTTGATTGGTAAGGATCGCGTGATCTTGTCGACTGATGCGAGTGCCCGACGTCACCGGAATACCGTGATGGAACCAATGAACATTTGCCTTCGGCTGTGACACCACCACACATTCCAATTGAGCAGTTAGTAGCATTTTCGTATGCACAATACCAACCACAGCTTTGATCTCGGGTGGAACTGTAAAATAAATTGTGATACTCAATCAATTCAATGCAAATTAATTAGAAAATCAGAAGAAACTAAGTAAGACATACACAAAACAACTAAATCAACACCAGCGACGGCCGGGTGACCCACTCCATTCGTAGCAACGCAGTCAATTCGTCCAGCCATACCCCGATCATTCACTTCGATCACTTTTGTTCGTTTATTCTCCAATTGTGTGCTATTCGACTGTCCGTGATGCATCCAACTGATTATTGGATGTGGAATGCCTTGCGCATCACATATAATCTCAAACACCGCACCCAATTTCGCTTCGATTCGACCGCTTGGCGTTGATACAACGCTCGGTGGAACTGTATCGATTGAACAAAAAATGAAAAACACAAATTAATGCTAATGTTTTCATTTAAGATGCCATCAATCAATCGCATATTCGAAAGAAAGTAAACGAATCCATGCACTTACATTGAACTTCGATTGCATGCAACTGGGTCTCTAGTGAAAATGTCGTTGTCATTACTTCACATAAATATTCAGCGGTATCATTTCGCTTAACATCTCTCACTTGTAGGCTGCCGTTTGTGAATAGTGTGATGCGTGGCGCAACATCGGGATATCGTGAATCGACTATCGCAACATCGTCACGCAACCATCGGACAAACTGAGATGGCACTGGAATCGGAAAAGAATGTTTTAAAAATCAACAATAATTGAAAACAAGAGAGAAGGCCAAGGAGAAGAAGCAAAAGGAGAAAAACAGTAGAAAAGTAAATAAAAAATGCATCAAATTATGGTCTAGTTTGAGTCTAAGCACCCAAAGTACTCATTAGAAATTCTTCAAGTTCTTTATCTTAAGAAATTAAATATACATTGAGCACCGAACAGTGGAAATTAAATCATTCTAAATCTGATTCATTGCTTGTGCTTTTATTTCGAATTTTTGGTTCATTCCAATGTTGAAATGCAGGGATGCATGGTCGTTATTACAAAGAAATGTCGTCGCCAGTTTAAATTTCAATTTAACGTTGAATTCAATTTACTTAAACTGCTTATGCTGCTATACGTAACGTGCTATTAGATTTATTCCGTTACAATGAATTGATAATCGAATAATCGGAGGAGTTAGTGAAACTCAGCCAGTCGCATTCATTCCAAATAACACTTCAATTGAAACACAAAAGAGAATTTTATTCAAATCTTTGAATGAAAATTGGTGCACACTCTGCACACACACACACACATACGAAACAAGAGAAGTCCACATCAAATTCCTTGCCGAGCGACGGTTTCGTGTTATTTTGTCTTTGAATCTCCATTCTTTCTCGTTTTCGGGTCGGAAAAATGTTGGTGTGAACGTGTTGTGATGCTATCAACCGAGATTACATTTCAACTTTGATTCGAATGAAGCAATTTTATGATTTATTTTGGAATGATATCATTCAAAGTATTTTCGAATGGAAATTTATGTACATAAATTAGAAAAAAAATGATCTCAAAACATAATTTGTCAAAATGAATGTAGTTTAAAATCAAGATTAATGCTTCTTTATCGAATGTCGACATCAAAATTGGAACAATGTTTACTAAATGACTATGGTTATGGGCCATTATATGTGGTGGATAATTAGTAGGTAGCAAAGAATCAAATCGAATGATAAAATCTGATCAGAAAAAAAAATAAAATTGAAAAATGTTTTCGAATAGAAAAATTAGTTCCGTGTCACTTGAACTGAAGACTCGACCATTGTTCGAGTCAAAAAATCCACTTTTGATTGATATCGAACGAAAACTCAACTCACCCACTGAATAGCATGGCAATAAAACGGTATCATTTTCATAGGTTTTAACGGTAGTTGGAACACTTTCGAAATTTTCCGAATTTGATGTGAAATAATTGTCGGTTTTGATTAGGCCAACCAAATAAATCCCAATCAAAACACAAACAATGTGGATTTTGCGTAGTTCACGCACGTCAATGCTCATTTTTAAAAGCCGATGTAAAGTAGATTACGTATTTCGATCCGGTTCTTTTGTGGTTTCTTAATCCTTATGTTTCAAACGATATGCTTAGCGATGGCTCTTGGTTGTACACTGAACTATATTTGCACTCGACAAATTACACTCGATTCGTATGCAAACAACGTTTCTTCTTCGAATAATGTATTGTTACCAAATGACCACTTCAACGAGCCACTGTCACCACAATAACAATCAATTAATCACAATAAAATTTCGCACACACTTGAAATTGCCTCGGCTTTGCAATTCTTTTCCACTTTTGAAGTTCTCTTCAATGGTTTCGCTCAATTGCAAGCTAGTTCACAAACAGGATTCAGTCCTGTGGAAGTCATTTATGAGCTGTAGGGGCATATTATGCTGTAGAGGCCTAGTATGCAGAAATTATCGTCAGAGCTCAATGGTTACACGTGTAAAATCAACATTCGTCGTAAAAAAAAATCAACTTTTCTTGCATAAAATCAAAATTTACTATGAACATGAATATATTTTAGTGTAAAACAAACGATTATTGTTGACATTTATCACTCAATTTTCACGATTAATAACGAAAAAGTGCTTTTCACAGAGTCATTTCAATAAATCACTGGAAACAAGATGTTATTGATGCACATTTCAATGTGTTTATTTTTAACATCGAAGGGTTAATTTTTTTTTTGATTTGATTATCACCGGTGAAATAAGCTACAATAACAAAAAGGCGCACAGCGAATGGCAGCCGCAGTAATTCAATCAAAAGTCAATTGCTCAATTGGAGTCGCGTGAGGAACACTGACAAAACGTCCGTCCATATCAAGAGCAGCAAACTAAATGAAATAATTCAGACGTTGTGCGGGTCTTCGGGCAATACGATTGACATGCATATACTCTCGACTCATACAAAGATTAGTGTGGATCGAAAGCGGGAGGGCGAATTCGTTGATCGGAATTAATTGGAATGAATGTTCTATATTTAGAAAGCTAATAAATTTGATTGTAGCGACAATGGCCAATTAAACAGAGCTACACACCACCCTAATCTTGTGTTGTTTATACAAATATCAAAGCAAAAAAAAGGCAACTAAATAACAAAGTAACAATAAGAACACTGAAAAAAAAAACTCACACAATTTGTGTATTCACAAAAGAGAAAAGACTTGGTAGCATTTGAGTCGGAATAGAAGCAAAATATTGCGTGAATTAGCATCAAATACTAATGTTTATCGTTGATCTCATATAAGCTCTAGATAGGCTGAAAGAAACTCGATTTTTTATGTATGCGAGCGGTTATTTTTTCTCTGTTTATGATCGAGACTTCATCAAATGCATGAGCACATACCATTTGCCTCTTTCGTCTGTCTTTATTTTTTTCTGTCATTTACAAAGAGAGAAAGAGCCAGAGGGAGAAAATGCGACAACAAAAGATGTCAATAAAACAAATTCTCTTCAACGAGTAGTGCATTCGAAAAACGAGCATCGTGTTAAAATGATCAACAGTAAGTTATGGTCGGTCCCTTAACTTAATATCGCGCACATAATTGTCACACACTCACTCACAATTTCTATATTAAATTAATAAATTATTCCGATTAAATCCATATTTCGTCGCTTCGCCCGGATTTCTCGTTGACCATTATTGTTTATTATTTGATTCCGTCACCTATTCCGTCCATCAGATTTCAGACATATTTTCAAGGCTTATTTTCATTATTTTTACGTCTATTGCTTAATATCGGGAGCTGGTTTCAGACATAAGTAGTCGAGTTTTGTTTTAGAAAATGACAAGAATAACGAACGAAATGACACAGTTGACAAATCATCAATATTTCGACCATTTCGATCGAAAAAGGAACGAAAACCCATTTGCCAATGGAAACAAAGCTATAACGATAAATAATAAACCCATATGGTTATTTCATGTCATCCGATTAAATCATAAAATTCTGTTTTAAGTTGATCGAACTACAAATACAAAAAGAATAAAATTGTGTAATCGGTTGCGTTTGAACTTGGTCAATATGCGTGTGCGCGCGCGCGCTTTGTCGAAACATTCGATGTGATTCTATAATGAGTTAGTCATTAATTAACAACAAATTGGTTGGTTCCTTAGTTTGGCCTACGCAATACACAAAACAATTCATTGGCCAAACAAGCAAATCGATTGAATTTAATGAATTACGAACTGAAGAGCGACGTTGTCTGACTGTCTCTCAATCACTTGGAAGGCAATGCAATTAATCGCAGCGTCCGTTTTAAATTCTTTGATGTTCCCATTTTCTGGGAAGCATTTCTCTGCATTTCTTCAGACATGATCGTGTCATATAGCAAACGGGTTGAAAGCGCGCCGCGTTCAGATCATCATTCAAACGAATCTACAATTATATTTAGACGTTAAATCCAATTTATATTAATTAATTATAAACGCTGTTTATTTTTCTCTGTGTTCTTTTCTGCTTTGGAATCGAAATGTACTCGAAAATTGTGAGAGGCCAAAGCCCTACTCTGTGTAGTAACCAAATGGACAATACGAAAATTGAATTTTAGCGTTAAAATTATTCTTCACCCAAACACTGAGTAAATAAAATTCAAACTGACATTGTATGCATCATGAGAAAGATTTGAATTACTTGAATAAATTATTCGAGATCCGCGAACAATGCGACGCATTAGATGCATTCGACTGCAACACATTTATGTGTGCTCCTATAAATGCATCACAAATCACAATGAATGCTCTACTAACCCAACAATTGAAATGTAGCGGGAAACGACGTAATACTATTTCGTATGAACGTTTTTCGTTGTTCATTTACATCGGCGCATAGTTCGAATGATTCCTTTGATACGGTCAGCGTTCTAACGGAGACTAAGCTCAATTTCTTTATGGTGTCGTTGTTATGGCTTGTATTCCATACTACTTTTCGTTATGAATGACCGAAGCGAACGACGAAAATGGAGACGGTTCAATGTTTTTGTAGACTTAATGACAGACTTTTGTCTTGTATTTGATTGGTTGGCCTCTCGTTTCATCCAAAAACATTTACTTATAGTTATTCCATCGCTTCGATTCCAAAACATACCTACCTTCGCTGCAAAATACTGACGTCGACTAGACTATTCAAAATCAATCGAATCCATCTTGTCAGCCATACTGAATGTTAACTCTGAACTAATTAACACAAAAAGAGTGAACAAATAAATCACAAAAGATGTTATTTGATTTAGTTTATTCTATGTAGTTACAATCATTTATTCATTCTTATTACACGTATTTAATTGAAACTAAGTACATTTGCACAGTTTAAAGAACTTCAATCAGAAGAAATTGAATTGATTTTGAGTTTTTCTATCAAATAGACTAAATTATGCGACTTATATGTGCCCGGAAAGCGTTCAATTTTGATTAAGTCTTTTCTAATTATCTTCGCTACTTATAGGCAAAATATTCTCACACGTATAAATTGCAGATAAACTGAATGTAAGATAAAGAGGATCAAAACTCCATAGGTTATAAGTCCACTATTTGGAAACAATAAAATGCCACCGTATGTTTGTAAATTTCGACCATACCTATTTTCTAGGGGCTCGGAACTTCAGAGTATGGAATTATATATCGCGTATAAGTAGCATATATTGCGGTTATTTTACATATATAACGTCATATTTTTACTTTTTGCGTATAAATGCGTATAACTGTGGATATCGCGGATATTTCACGTATATTATTAAGAAAATGACGTTTCACATGCTTCGATATCCAAAATAACCGTAATATATACACTTTATATGCACTATATGCATTTTATATGAAATATACGCAATATCCGCAAAATATTCGCGATATACACATTTATTTATTGTTTTAGATATTTTGTGGATATTGCGTATATTTCATATAAAATGCATATATTGCATATAAAGTGCGTATAAAATATGATTTTATATAGATCCGAGCCCCTAGCCTATTTTAGATCTGCTTCAAATTCAGAATATTTCTAAATTTCACACACTCATCATATGGTCTGCATGACATCTTATCATCTGGAGAAAACAATTTTTTTGAATCAATCTCACTCTCAATTGACCGAAGTGACAATTAGCAGTTAGTATTTTCCGTTTGATTTTGTTCTGCTTTGAGAGTATCCATCGGTTTGCCTCTTGTTTCGTCTAGCACGAAATATATGAAAAATGAACCCACAATGCAATTGATGGCAAAAATCAGCATGCACCCGTAAACGTCGACTTTGTCCAGTAGCAACGGAAACAGTTTTGTACACGTGAACGATGTAATATTTAGAGCAAAAATGCAAATAGCCAAACCAACCGTCCGAATCTTGAACAAAAAAACAATTTAAAAATAAGGTAAACATTTTAGGTATGCTATGTTGCTCAGCTGTCATCATGATTCCATCTATCGATTTAAAAAAAAAGTTAGTCCATACCTTTGTGGGTAAGTTTTCCACTCTAATGACATGCGAAAGTGGAATAATGCCAGCCGATGCAATGAAAATAACAAATGCCAAACAAAACACGGGCACCCATGCATAGTCCGATAAGTCGTATCCATTTTTGTTAAGGTACAAAAATGCTGATAATGCAATTAAACCAAGAGCAGTTCCCAATAGGGATACAATCGAGAATGTTTTTCGGCCAAACTTATCGGCAAGATTTGTTGTGCACAGATTGCCAACAATCAGCATCACGGCCAGAGCGATCGATGAGAAGTACGCATCTAGTTTCATGCCAGTTCGTTCAAGAATGTACACAGCATAAGTGATGATGGTGAAGCATCCGGTGAGCTGGCTAAAATATGATAATGCAATTCCAATCATGATTCCTTTCAACGCCTTGCGATTCGCTGTAACAATAACACACATTTAACAAGAATAAATAAAGTCGTGGTGAAAATAGAAAAAATATTGTCAAACTCTTACTAAAATCATTCACACGAAGTTTCTCATCTGCTTGTTGCTCCTTGGCAATCGATTTCATCCGCTCAAATTCAATGTTGAACATATTGATCTCCGCATCAGTTTTTCCTTTGTAACCTTTGTAGTACTTCAAGGCTTCTTGCGCTTTCTGTCGGTCAAAAAGGCAAAAATAGAATTATGCGGCCCAAATCAAAAAGTACAATAATTGAAAATCATTTGAAATTTTGTCATTCGCTTACTTGAACTCGATCGTTTCGAAGATAATATTGCGGAGTGTTGGGCAAAAAAACGAAGCATAGCACATACAACAGTGGAAGAAAGATGAAAATGCATGGAATATATTTATAATCGACTATCGCTCCCACGATGTAGGCAATCAGTATGCCGGTGTTTCGAGATAGTTGAATGATTGATCCGAGCCGACCGCGAATGCTGTAATTTAGAAACAATATTTTGAATGGTACGTAAAAATAAAAACTAATCTCAATATCACATTCACAAACTTGTCATTTGAAATTTCAGCGATATACAGCACGATAGTCGTTTGAATGCCACCGCCTGTCCATCCCGTGAAGAAGCGAGCGATCAATATATGATTATAAGAATCGCCAAAATAGATAAGAATCCAAAAAATCGTTGATGGCATTGCTAAGAAGATCATTGCTCGTTTGCAGCCCAAAAATGTGTTGATAAATCCAAATGTAAAAGTTCCGCACAGTGCGCCAATATTCATAATTGAACCAACCCATGACACTTCTTCGCTAGTAAATGGACCCGTGATAAGCGGCGTATTGTCTGATAACAGCTTGGGTAAAGCTGGTGAAAACCTGTAAAAAGAATAATCACGCCATTTTAAAAACAATTTGCCACTGTTTGCATAGGTAGAATGTGTGAACCTGAAAACCGGAAATAAGATTTTTTGAATAATTACTCACCAACCTACGATACAGCCATGAGCCAACATTATCAGATTTGCTGGTGACGAAAAGGAATGCAAAGTCATTCACATCTAAACTAAATATTTGTATCAAACGACGTCAGTAGGTCGACGACACAGAAATTTTAAGATACCTGTTATTGCTGCAATATATTGATGGCCGTTGCGCCATTGATATTCCGTTTCTTCCATGACGCGGTATAATACAATCCAATTATGAAATGAAATTATTCACTCGGATCGTAGTGGAAAGGAATTTACGCTGATTGACGTCATAAATGCAATTTTTACGGTAGCACTTTAGTTATAATTATAATCCGAAAGTTCTTACACAAATTCGTGTGATTTATGATTAGAAAATATTGCAAAAAAATCACCGGCTTCGACTGAACGAGAGCAATCATGTGTTCCGTACAATCGTTCGATCGCGACTACTCGCATTTACGTACTGAAATAAACATGTTTACCATTTAACAAATGGCATTTACGTATACATTCACAGTCCAAATAAAAATTTCATTCGTATTTCGCATGACCTGTTGACTGCTTGAAAAAATCGACGTTGTGGTTTCGTTACGTATGGTAAATCCAGAGCGTGTTATGAGCTGATGTCAGCAGCACTAACTAATCAACATACGATAACTCAAAAGTACATGCAAAAATGTGTTGGAAATACACAATCCGATACATCCGTCTCTTTCTTGCACATATGCTATGTTTGTATTGAATTCGTTTTGGTTTGCATTTAAGATTAGTCAATAGAAAATTTCGCTGATTTGACAAAAAAAAAACGAATTTGTACACCTTACTTAATTTTCTATGGAACGAATGTATTTTATTTTCTTTTAAAACATTTTTATTTCATGTCAACAAATAATTTTGATCGATCGTGACAACGTTACAAAGGCTTCAATTACCATTGTACATTTCATGACAGTAGCTTTATCTCAATATCGTAGGCATCACAGGTTTTTTTCCTTACCTGTCTATTATCTATTCATTCATCGCATCACAACACCGTCAAGTCACAGTGGCGTCGATTTTATTTATCGCTGTTTTCAAATATGTATTTAATGGGGTTTAATTGCTTTTATTTCTAGTTAAATATAAAGCGCATGCAAACTTATACTAATTGATCTTGGTTATTTAACTATTTTAAATGAAATAGCCGTTGCTTTGGCAATTCAACTAATTTAAAGTACAAATCGTTTGATTTATGTGTTTGGCTAGCATTTAGTTTCACTTGATTTAAGTGTATCTAGTGACTTTCCGTTGGTTTCTTCTAGCGCAAATGTCACAAAAAGTGCACCAACAACACTTCCGACCATGAATATGATCATGCATCCCCAGAGATCTATTAGTTCTAAAACAAATGGAAACACTTTGACAAATGTAAAAGTCGATGTGTAGAGTGATAGCACACATATCGTTAATCCAATTGTTCGAATCTGAAAAAACGTGAAATAAAAATTAGCAAACAAAAATTCAAAAAGAATTGTTAAATGTCTAAAACGATTATTTTTATCTCTACATGATGGATAAGATTAGGAATAATTCAAACCTTTGACGGCAAATATTCCACAACGCAAACCGCGTATAATGCATAGACGCCAGCCGATGAGATAAACATGATGAAAGATAGCGATGCAACTGGCAACCATGAATATGCCGATAAATCATGACCGATTTGATTGAGATACAAGTACAAAGCAAAGACCAACAATCCCATTGCACTTCCCATGAATGAAATGATCAATACCAATTTTCGACCCATCGAATCGGCCAGTTTAGCTGAGAAAAGGCATCCAATCAATTGTGCTGCGGCCAATATTATTGAAGAGATATACGGGTCTATTTTCGATGCACCAGATTTTTCGAAAATTATCACGGCATAGTTTAAAAGGGTGATACTGCCAGGGAATTGGGTTAACCAGCCCAATATTATACCAAAAAGAAGTCCTTTGACTGCTTTTAGTTCAACTAAAAACAGATGGAGATTTGAAAATGTAAACAAATTCATAAACTAAATGCATCAAAATTCAAAGGTAAAACCAACAACTTGACGATTTTGATTAGATAGTGTCTTTAAAACCGTCAAAATGTCTTCACATTTATTCGCAAAAGAAAAAATGAATTAAACTCACAAAAATCACTGAGATTAACCTTCTTATCTTCCTTTCTCTCTTTGGCCAACGATTGCAGTCGGTCAAATTCTTTGTTAAAAGCATTTCGCTCCACTTCACTTTTTCCCTCATAGCCTTTGTAATATTTCAATGCATAGTCGGCTTCCTAGATTTCGAAATTTTTAGCTAGATATTGTTAACCAAATTCATGTTCAGAACGTACCTCGAACATGCCTTTCCGAAGATAAAACTGTGGTGTATTTGGTAATATGAAAAATACTACTAGAAACGCAATTGGAAGGAAAATGAAAATGCACGGCACCAGAAAGTAGTCGGCATAGGCTCCGATTGTGAATATGAGCAAAACGCCAATATTTCTTGAGAGTGTTGTAAGTGATCCAAGACGCCCTCGGATACTGAAATTGGGAACAATTTAAATGACGAGAATCTGTTGCTCGCAACTGGCGATCGTCTGGCAAAATGGCTCTTACTGATCGTTCGAAATTTCTGACACGAATAAAATGATCGTCGTTTGAATTCCTCCACCGGTCCAACCCGCGAAAAATCGTGCAAACAGGAGATGGTAATACGTGTTGCCGAAGAAAATCAATAGCCAAAACGCAATCGACGGCAGTGCTAAAAATGACATCGCTCGTTTGCATCCCAGAAATGTGGTGATAAATCCAAACGTCAGAACCCCACCAAGTGCACCCAAATTATTGATCGATCCAAGCCAAGATAATTGCTCATTGTTCAAGGGGCCACTAATGAGTGGTGTTTCTTCAGATAATAATATCGGCAGCGATGGACTGAACCAACTTACTACGGCTCCATGTCCCAACATGATTAGATTCGCTATAACGAAAATAAATTGCTAATCCATGCTCAAAATTCCGTTGTGAAATTGGAAATATACCTGCCATCGTAGCAAAATACTGGTGTGCAACATTTTTAAACTCAAACCCACTTTCTTCCATGCCAACAAAATATTTTAAACGTTAGCCTAGCAATGTAGATACTCGAATGACTAGTTTTGTTGCTTATTTATAAGATTAGATGCTGCCAGCATCATGCTGGAATCTTTATGTTTCGATGATCAACAGCTCGGTTATAGATAAGACTTTTGGCTGGAATTCTTTTGATTTATTACAATTACGTTGAAAACTGTTGCGTAAATTTACAATCTTTGAACGCCCTTGCATCATTTATATTTTGCGTGTGGATTTTTGTACTGTAAACATGATCACAGTCTGAAATGATGTCTCTTGCCAAAATTTCTCTGTTTTTTTTTTCTGTTAGCACTCAAGTCAAGCTAAAATAAACCTACCGATAAAGTACCGAGCGACCTTGTGCGCTTCTTGTTTTTCTTTATATTTTTATTATGTAAAATTTTGAAATGATGGTTCTCTAACTTCCGCGTAGTTATATACTGAACGTTTCCACTTACGGTACTTTATTAAACTGAAAGTGCCTGTCTTTGAAGCTGTATTCAAATATTTTTGATAGTCATTTCCATAGGCTGTTTGCCTGATTCATTGATTAATTGAAATGGCAATATATCACTATTCATTAAAAATGCAAAAAATCTTGCAATTTTAGCGAATAGTGATTGTTTCGATGAAAAAGCGTGATCTTGATTTGAAATAAACTGTTTTAATTGACATTGGAGCACTTCATTAGGCACAAAAAGATGACGCGCCAAGTACAGTCGTACTACAGTTCATAGTATAAAATTGATGCCACTTCCTAGTTGTCAAATGTTCATGATAAATAGGCCATATTTGATAATAATTTTACGTCGTTGCTATACTATAAGAATCTTACACGCTATTCTTCCTTTCTACATACGTGCTGAATGTATTATAATTGCGACCACTTAGTGTATGAGTCATCTTTGCGTCTTCATTTATGCCTACATCGTCGAGTGACTTTCCGCTGGTATCTTCCAAAACAAGATAAAAGAAAATAGTTCCCACAATGCAGCCGACTCCATAGATCATAAAGCATGGGTACAAGTTTAGCGTTTCCAGAAGTATGGGAAAGAGCTTCATCGATACAAACGCGATGATATTCATCATAAAACTAATGATTGACATGCCAAATGTTCGAATCTTGAATGAAATTGTACATAATTCACTATGAGTCATAGGCAAGTATAAAAACCAGAGAAGGAACAAACCTTTGGGGGAAGATTCTCAACGCTGCAAACCATCATCAAAGGCGTGATGCCCGCCGACGAAATGAAAACATCAAACGATAGGCTCACCAATGGCACCCAGGCAAATGAAGATAACTCGTAGCCATTCAAATAGAGATAATGATACATTGATGTTGCGAGTAGAGCAAATGCAGAACCAAGCAAGGAAACGATAATCAAAACCTTTCGACCGAGTCGATCTGCAAAGTAAGTGGTTGTCAATGAGCCAATAATTAGTGCTATAGCCATCATTATTGATGAGGCATATGGATCTAATGATGTTCCAGTTTTTTGAAAAACCATCACCGCGTAGCTGATAATAGGAAATTTTGCTGTAAACTGTCCAATCGTACACAAAGCAATGCCGATGCCAATGCCCTTTATCGCCGATTTAGTGACTGTGAATTATGATATTTGTAAAATAATTGTAAATATAATGATTCAGGAGTTAAACAAAGATTTAAATACATACAAAAATCCGCGGCGCAAAGTTTCACTTCAGTTCTGCGTGTATTTGCAATCGATTTCAATCGTTCGCACTCGTTGTACAGAGCAACATCTTCCTCACTACATAGTCCTTTGTAATTTTTGTAATATTTCACTGAATTCTCTGCATTCTAAAATGGTTTACGTCAGCTTCGAAATGAAGATAGTTTTTCGATTGACAACGACTCAACTTACCAAAAATTTTCCATTATGAAGGTAGTATTGTGGTGTATTCGGTAACATTGTGAAAATGGCAGCAAAAACGATTGGAATCCAAAAGCAAATATATGGTACGTATTTGTAGTCAACTTCAGCACAAAGAATGTAAGAAATCAAAACACCTATATTGAACAAAACGAGTGGAAAACTCCCAAGACGACCTCGAATGCTGAAAAAGGATTCGTTCTACGTTTTCATAAAATTTCAAAGAAATGTTCATTAATTATTCAATCATACTCATTATTTGATATCTCGGAAATATATAATACGAGCGCAGGAGGCAGACTCCCTCCAGCCCATCCACCGATGAGTCGTGCCAACAGAATGTATAGGTAATCGTTTCCGAGTGCAATAAGTAACCATGATACAATAAATGAAATCACTGTGAACAGCATGAACCGTTTACAGCCCAATACATTTGCAATATATCCAAAGGAAAATGTGCCAATTAAACTCCCAATGCAGGATATTGATCCAACCCAGGAGACTTGTTCATTTGTCAGTGGTCCAGATGCTAGTGGTGACATTTCTGAGCTAAATTCTACTAGAGCAGTCGACATAAAACCAGTCATAAATCCTTGATTGAAAATTAATGCACTGCCTGTGAAAAAAAAATACAAATCAATTCGTTTGAACTAAATGAAATGGAGGTTTGAATTGCGGAATAACATACCCAAAATAGTTCCATAGTACTGATTGAAGACGTTTGTCCATTGGTATATTGGTTGAGTCTCTTTCAACACCATTGTGATTGAACTAACGATCATGTCGATCGTGACCACGATTCAATCGACAACTGATTAAATTCATCATATAATATCACCAGTTTGGTTATCTATCCACAAATCTGTTGTTAGTAGTTTATCTAATTCCTATATTCAAGTGTGTCAAATTTGTATTTTCTCTGTGTCAACAAGAAATCACAAATCGAAACAAAAATAATCTCAATATTGACAATCTCAAGATTTTTACATGAATAAGTTAGTGATTCATTTTCTGATGGACTATTTTCGGCCCTTATCTATATTTAAAAGAAAAGTAAATTTGAATATGAACATTTGAAACAAAACAATAATAAAATGAAATTGAAATATGTGCACGTGTCTGTCATCAAGAAAATATTTGGTTAACAGAACAAATTATCTGCTTCACATTTATTTCGAAATGTAATCTAAATTCAAATATGTACAAGACGATTAAGCTTTATTTTGTTCATTATTTGCTGGTGATTTCGTCTCAGATGTCGTGTCCATTGTATCGATCGATTGACCTTTGGTCTCCTTCATGAAAGCAATGAAAACAATTCCAAGGCAACAATTGATTGCCATTATTAACATTACACTATGCATTCCAATGATTTCCAATAGAATCGGGAATGTTTTATCTACACCAAAAGCGATGCCGTTTAGGCAAAACGAGTAAAAAATCATGCCGATAGTTCGAATCTAGAAAGAAAAAAAAACAATCAGAGGGAAATTGTCGAAGAAACTATTAATTACGTACAAACCTTTGGCGAAAAACATTCAACGACACAAGTATTTATTAATGCTTGAATTCCAGCGTAGGAAATGAAAATAATGAGCGATAACGAAGTGACCGGGATCCATAGAAAATTTGATAAATCGTACCCAATGTGATGCAGGTACATAAAAGTTGCGAAAGTGAACAGTCCACCGGCTGAACCAAGCAGCGAAATATTTAAAGTGGTCTTCCGACCAAATGTATCGCCCAGTTGCGTGGAAATCAGACCACCTACAATCTGCGCGACGGCTAAAATGATCGATGAAATATGTATGCCAAGTGATGTACCAGATTTTTCAAACATAAACGATGCATAGTTGGTGAACGTTGAGCCGCCCGTCATTTGGCACAGCCACGACACGGCAACACTAACAATAACTCCTTTCAATGCCATTCGATTACAGAAATCGTTCATTTGAATTTTTGGGCTATTCTTTTGCTCGTCATCAATTAATTTCAATCGCTCCATTTCAGCATTCAGATGTGTTTTCTCTCGATCATTATTTCCATCACAATTTTTATAGAACATCAACGCCTTTTCTGCTCTCTATTTGAAAAGAACGGGTCAGTAAATGTTCAGTTGTTGATCAAAATAAATTATAAATATTTTTTCACTTGGTAACAGATCCAAAATGGGAAATTGGTTTTTTTTCCTCTTCATTTATATCAAATTGAATTCTCCTTAACTTACGTCAAAATCTGCATTTTTAAGATAATACTGCGGTGTGTTGGGCAAATAAAAGAGCCAAATCAAGTATATTATTGGTAATGAAATGAAAACATATGGCCTGTATTCGTATCGAACCACACCGCCAACGAAGAAACCAATCAAGAGTCCAATGTTTCTTATCAGAGGCGTAAATGAGCCAAGACGACCACGAATACTGAAATGTCATTTAAATTGTGTCAAATGCACAGTTATATTTAGATCTTAGAGAACCATTTACTTGTTGTTCGATATTTCGGCGACAAAAAGGACCACTGAAATCACACTAATTAGTTGTTTTACTTATTGTTGGTTTACACTAATCTAAGTACAAACCACCAGTTTGAATGCCACCGCCACTGATTCCAGCCGCGAGTCTCCCAATTATTATATGGTAGTATGTATCTCCGAAGAGAATAAGCAACCAGAAGATAATTTGCGGAAAAGCCAGGAATATCATGCTCCGTTTTGAGCCCAGAAATGCAGTCAGCGTACCAAATATGAATGTGCCGCATATTGATCCAAAATTGCTCATTGAACCGACCCAGGACAGTTGCTCGTTAGATATGGGCCCAGTGGTGATCGGAGTGTCATCGGAAAGCAGTACGGGCAATGCTGGTGAAACCCACCCAACGCAACACCCGTGACTGAATATGACGATATTCGCTGCGTCGAAAGAAAATATTGTTGACGAACGCAAAATTTGATGGAATTTAACCACAATAGAACGAACCTATCACCGTTGCAAACACCTGCTTTTTTACATTCGACAAAATTTGTTCACTTTCACTTGTTACAATTTCAATCCCTTGATTCATCCCAATTCACTATTTATCACTTTTATCTCAACAACTACAGCAAGCTTTGAAAATCTGTAGTCGTGATCGATATGCCATTGGTTTGCTGCTGCTGAAAGCAAGCTCATAAGCAAATATATCTGTACAAGTCGTTTATCGGGAATGGCAACAACTGTCTGTGAACACTATTTAAATGAATCGCATGCTTCTCACTATCTTTCTCGATTCAAACAAATTCATTAATTAAATTCAATTGATCACGCACTAGATAATAAACAATTGATTGGTGGCATATGAAATAGCATTGAAATTTAGTTTGATTTCAATTGAATTGGATTAAATAGAAAATGTTTAAGTTGCTCTGCTGGCAGCTACACCACTCGTATTCGTTTCTAAACAGTAGATAAGAACAGACAAAATTGTATCCGCAACTCATTTTATAGCACTGATTTTATTGCTCATTTGCCTTGATAACAGCTGATTATTATGGAAAACAACTTATCACTTACTCCAATATAGTCGATTATTGATCGAACTACTTTGGTGTGAAACTATAGTGAAACTGTTACTATATGGTTTTTCATGTAATTTCACGTTATTTCAATGCTATTTCGTAATCATAATGAAATGCTGCAAAATTATATGACAAACAAGAAACATTGTAAAATATTGGAGATGTTATTGGAGGATTTCTGCAATTGGTTGGTCTTCAAAGCAGTTGTAACGTGTATGGCAATTTCATGGTTCACACAAGTGACGCTTTTGATGTACTATGTATGCATCGTTAACTTTCAAACTTTCCAGTATTCAGCATTGATCCATCAGCCATCATTTTGGCAATTGTTCAAATCATCGATGGTCTCACAACAACTCAAGTCTGCGATGCTTTTGGGAGAAAAACCACTTTTTTCATATCATTACTCGGTTCGGCATTTGGACTATTCGTTTGTTTTTTTTTTAAACGTATTTGTACCTGCATCATCTTGGTTATATACACTTATTCATTGACAAATAACATATTTATATTTGCAGTGTCAAACATCTTTCCCGATTTTGCTGAAGATCATTTACTTACACGGATTTATGCTCCTACTTGCTGTAAATTGTTATTTCGGTTTGATTTTTGTGGCTTTTATGAAAGAAATTAAAGGAAAATCTCTTGATACGTTGGAAAAACCGCAAGATTAATAGAAAATTAATGAAAATATTGGAATTTATTATTTATTGAAGAGATATAGCGTAAAATCCAACTCCATTCTAGGTCATTTTTTCCACTATCTTCTGTTCCAACAAAATAATTTTCACGCTACTCTTTTGTTTCGTTTCGATTTGTTCTGCAAAGAACATTTAAATCGACATAACCAAATTGTTTGCTGTCAAACTTTATCCCTCTCTCACTAACTGTCACACTTACTTGCTCGTGTAATTGTTGTTAGAAAGAAAAAGACGTTGTTCGCAGTGGACTCAGTTTAAATGTTCTTTTTTGAGTTGCCTTTACATCGATATGTCTAGAAATAGATAAATTTTTGTAATATGTATTCCTGAGAATGAACGAAGCACCAAAGTGAATGAAAAACAGATCATGTCGTGAGTATAAATAAATACTGCATGTAACGATAATACTATAATGATAGTACCTACTCGTTTAATTCCTCAACAAAATAAGATTTCACATTCCAACTGAGCGGTCCAAATGAAATGCCTATGTAAAAAACGTGTGACACAACCGCTTGACTTGTATGCACAGCACAGGCGACCGCATATACAGTCACAATTGATTGACAAGCACATCTGTGTGAACGTTCACAAAATAGCCAAACGAAATGGGATAAATATAAACGCAAGACAGAAGCTATTTTGGATCTGTCTTTTCAAATCGTTTTTATCTTTGGACAATAGAACTTGTAGTTATGGATCAAGATTGCCATGGCGTTAATATCGGATGGTTTTCATCCGCTTTGCCTGCACTATTGTCAAATGGCACTCCACTTGCATCCGGCCCATTGTCCTATGAAGAATTGTCATGGATTGGTTCTATGAGCAGTCTTGGGGCCATTTTTGGAACATTCATAACTGGACTTCTATCGATGTTGTACGGTTCCAAAAGAACGATAGTGTTCCTAGCGTTTCCCGTGATCACATTCTGGGTGCTTATTCATTTCGCTAATACATTTTACGGTATTTTATTGGCGAGATTCATTACTGGTTTGACAGGAGGCGGTTTCTCGTCAGGAGCTGTTCTATTTATATCGAAAATATCGAATGACAAGTATGTATTTCTAAAATAATACTTTGGAATATGAAAATCTTATGAGATTTCAGTGTTCGTGGCCGTCTTGGCTCGCTGGTTCCGTTGGCTAGAAACATTGGTGTATTGATGGCTTACATTGGAGGTGCTTTGATCGAATACGAACACAGGCCGTATATTTTCATCTTGCTTCCTATATCTTACTTGATTATGGTATACTTTTTACCAGACACTCCTCAATACTATCTAAAAATGGACGATTTTGAGGCAAGTTGTGATTTTGTTTTAGAAAAATGGAGCTAAGAGATAAACTTTTGGATGCAGGGTGCTGAAAAATCATTGATGTATTACAAAGGATGTACGGGCGAGACTGATCGAGAAAAATCTCTGCTGAAGACTGAATTCGATAGGATGAAACTGTTGGAAGAAGAGCGAAAAAATGGTTCAACCATGCAATTAAACGATTTCTGCAATTGGTCGGCGTTCAAAGGAGTTGCAACGTGTATGGCAATGTCATGGTTCACACAAGTGACGGTTTTAATGTACTATGCATCGTTGATTTTCAAACTTTCCGGCTCGGTGTTCAGTGTTGACGTATCAGCCATCATTTTGGCAATTGTTCAAATCATCGGTGGACTCACATCAACTCAATTTGGCGATACTTTTGGGAGAAAAACCACTTTTTTCATATCATTACTCGGTTCAGCATTTGGATTATTCATTTTTTCTACGTATTTATGCTTCCTTCATCATGGTTATGGCTCATCAAAATGCACGTGGCTTCCTGTTGTGTGTCTCTCTTTTGTCATGTTCATATCTACCGCTGGAATTTTGGCATTAGTCCATACGTGTATCGTGGAAAACTTTCCACCAAAGGTGAATGTATCCTGTTTATTCGAACAAAATTCAATTGCCACTGTAAAATCATACAATATTTTCCATAGATTCGTCCGGCTGGCATGGTCTTCTACTCAATGATAAATGGCTTAGTTACATTCATTGTGGGAAAATCGTTTCCAATTTTGCTGGAAGTAATTCATTTACACGGATTCATGTTTCTTCTTGCTGTCAACTGTTGCTTTGGTTTAATTTTTGTGGCTTTTATGAAGGAAACCAAGGGAACATCGCTAGATAACATACCGGAAAATTTATGAATCTATTAAAGTCAAAATAAAATTGGTTGAAAACGTAGAAAAAAATTGAGTAAAACTGCACTAGAATTTCGGATTTTTTATACGATTTCGATATTGTCACTTCAATGAACGATTTGTGATTAAACAAAATTCAGAACGCTTGCTTGCAAAAAGCGTGAGATTTTTATTTATTTCAAGATTTGGGTTTTATTTATAGAATTTTAAAAGCAACACAATCAAATGTCTAGCCAATACATGGCAAGTCAGAATTTTACATCGAACATTTTCTTTTCAGACACTTTGCACACATTTACGTTGCTAATGTTATTGCTTAATGCGTTGTTTGAATACATTGAGCTATTTCAGTATGTTATCAACAATGTCGCTGTGCTATTTTTACATTCCTTCAATCATTCACACACTTTTATTTAGCAAAATGAACACAAACAAAACAAAACGTAGACATTGATTGCAAAGTTGGATCCACAGTCACATACTAAGTGCGACACGCTTTCTTAGCGGTAATCAGTCGCACCATGTGCAAATTGTGTTTGTAAAATCCCTACTTGGGAAGTAACTTTTTTTTTAAACAATCCGATCAGATGAAAATATGAGAGATCATTTTCGGACGCATTCAATTTTCTATTATTTTCTATCGTTGTGTTATTGTCATTAATAGAAAATTTTCAAAATATCGAATTATAAGATGTTCCACGTGCCATTCATCGAATAAAAGTGAGTGCAAATCAGATAGACTGACTCTCTTTTCTCTATAGAATCGAACTAGCTCTTGTATATAATTTGTTCATTGGCAAAGATGGAGAAAAATACAAATTTTCAGTGGAAAAATCCACGGAATCAATATTATGCCGTCATTGCAGGTATTTAAAATTACATTTCTTAACTTACATTTATCAATTAAAGTGCAAGAAAAATATACATTCATTTATTCTTTTTCAATTCAGCAAATCTGATATTGCTTAGTCAAGGATGTTTAATGGGCTGGGTAAATTAAATATTTCATGGAATCTATTGACCAAAAGCTATAAAATAATAAAAAAAAATTGTTGGTTATAAGATTTCGCCAGCTATACCAAAGTTAACATCAGAAAGCACCCCGCTCACTTCTGGCCCATTAACAACTCAACAGGTTTCGGCTAAGTTTGAATAACCATTTTTGGCAAATTTCTAGATGATTTTGTCATTTAAAAAAGTTTTTTTTTTTAAATTCAGACGAATTTTTCAGAAGAAATGACAATTTTTAGGCGAATTTGTCATTTTTTTCAGACGATTTTGTTTTATTCGAAATCATATTTAACCCACAGGTTTCATGGATTGGTTCAATTGACTGTATTGGGGTTTTAGTTGGTTCGTTATCATTTGGATATTTCACATCATTTATGGGTTGTAAACGTGCCATGCTTTTTTTGGCTGTTCCATCGATTGGCGCTTGGCTCTTAATTTATTTCGGACAGACATTTGATCACATTCTACTGTCACGTGCACTGTCTGGATGGTCTACGGGTGGGATAACGACCACCATAATCCTATTCGTATCTGAAATTGCCAATAATGAGTAAGTACTTAGCCTTCGATCACGGCTGATACTTTTTACTTACTCACATATTAATGTGAATTATGACCATTTTTTACGTTTGAATTGAATGCAAGATTGAATGTGCTATTTTTTCCTTTTTCAGCATCCGCGGTAGGCTTGGAGGTATTTCACATTTCATGCGTAATATTGGCATTTTAATTGGTTATACTTTGGGAGTAACACTTGAATACCATATTATTCCTTGCATTTGCATTTTTATGCCGATAATTTATGCCATTAAATTTGCTGCCTTACCAAATACACCACGATACTATCTACAAAGAGGACAGACTAAGGTACAGTAAACAAAGCCTATTTTTCATCACTAAATTGTTAGCATGCGTTACATTATTTCATATATAATTCTGAGCAGCTGAATTGCTTTTCCATTCAAATTTGAACCGCATGAACCTCACAGTGATTGTGTTGTCTTGGAAATTTAATTGAAGAAATGGTATTACAGAATGAAGTTGTTTGAATAAATGTTCATTTACCTTTGCAGAAGGCTGAAGATGCTTTAAAATACTACAAAAGTTATGCGGGAGAGTGTTGAAGAAAATATTGCTCTATATGATGAGCTAGAGCGATTGAATCGAATTGTAAATGAACGAAAATCGGACGAAAAATTGCAGGCATCCGATATTTGTAAGAATTTGTCCATTTTATTTTTAAAGTGAATGAATTCTTAGTGGTAATGGATAATTTTGAAAACCAAAGTTAATCGTGCGGTGATGAAAGGATTGGGCATTGGCATTTCTCTGGCAATACTCGCACAGCTCACGGCGAATTTCCCATTGGTGACCTATGCAGTTACAATTCTCAAAAAGTCGGGAACTTCTTTCAACCCATACGCATCGTCAATAGTATTGGCTGTGATGCTCATCCTTGGTTCATCGGTTAACACTTATTTAGCTGATATCTTTGGTCGAAAACGATTGAATTTCATTTCCTTGACGGGGTCAGCCGTTGGACAACTAGCCACATCACTCTATCACTATCTCTATATAAGCGGTTATGATTTATCACTATTCTCTTGGGTACCAGTTGTCAGTTTGTCTTTCGTCATTTTCATTTTGGCGGCTGGCATTTTACCTCTTCAACTCATTTGCGTTGTCGAATACCTCCCACCGAAGGTTTGGCATATTTAAAAAACTGCAGTCCTTTTTTTATTTTCTTTCACTTCTTCGCAGACTCGAACACTTACCATGTCATTAATAAGCTCCGCCATCGGCATGTGTGCATTTATATCAGTGAAACTGTTTCCCATCTTACTGGAACTACTTGATCTACATGGCAGTATGCTGATTTATGGTTGTGGTTGTAGTATCGGAGCGATCTACGTGCTTCTTGTTCTGAAGGAAACTAGTGGAAAGTCACTTGACGATGTAGGTAAAAGTAAGAACACAAAAGTCGATTGTGATCATTCAACAAAGAGACTTCAAGAAACATCATGAACAAATGAAGTGAGAAATTTCCATGAAACCATAAAATAGGGAAAAAAAATTATCAATGTGATTCTTGAATGTTTGAAAAATCCTGTTTGTTGATAAATAAAATACTATTGAATACAATGGCAAGATTCGAACATTTTTCATTTATTATGTCTAAGTGTGAAATCAAATGGAATTGGAACGATTCATAGGCATTCCAATTCATTTTTGGACAAATAAAACACGTGTTTTTAATTTATTTTTGCGGAAAACCCGAGCCTATTCCGATTAGATAAAGGTGAGATGAAAATTCATTCTGATCTCATAAATGATGTTGAATTCAACTTGTGCGTAATTATTTTTGTTTCCTTCTTTTGACCCCGCTTATACATTGAATGGAATATTCCATGCGCACCTATAATTCACAATAATGTTGCACAAACCAAAAATAAATTGGATACATAATGACACTATACGAACATAACTCAATGAATAAATGAATGCGTCAGAATATAAAAAAACGTTTGATACGCTCACGCGTCGGTGCCCAACTGAACAATATTTGCGCGTCAAAACGGAATTGTGTTGTTAGTTGAATGTGGAACACCGTATGTTTGCACACGGCTTACGGACGCCTTATATGCAATATACATGTTACAATGATCCGCATTCATCTAACAACACAATTTTTATTCGCTTTGATATGCCAATGTTCTGAGTTGTGCTTTGATACGTGAGCATATCAAACGTTGCTTTTATTCTAATTCAATGTTCAAATGTTCTAATCGCTATTATTTCCAATACAATGAATCGATTCGATTCAAAACTGTTTTAAATTGTATTCTTTTTCATTTTAAAACTTCATGAAGCATTCTCTAAAAACTGGCTTCTAACATGATTATTTCATTTGGATTCAATTAAACTCAATCGGATTGTATGATTTTATGATTGTTGAGTTGATGAAATATTTTCCGGCTTCTTGTAAAATTATGCGACTGTTCTGATTATGATTGATTAGTAGGTATCCATTAAACAAAACAAAAATCGTACAAAAAAAACTACACACAAATACGGAATGTAAATATGTAGTCAATATATAGATATCCATCCTAGATTGGTCAATGAGCGATCGTTCGTTCGTATGCGAACATGTTCGTTTGTTCGTAGGTGATATTTTGAAAAATGCATGCCAATCATTTTTTTTTTTTAAATTCAAAAATAGACATTTCTGAGAATAAACTCAGCAACAATTTTGCTGCAGTATGAGTTGGCAGCCTTTTTTAAAAGATCAGCTACCAACGAACGAACGAACGAACGAACGAACGAGCGCTCGTTGACCAATCAAGTTCATTTCGTTTAAATTAGATCGACTGATACAATTCTCTACGATAAAAACTGTGGTTCATTCAAAATGTACTTACGACAACTTCAGTACCAAGTGTCACAGTTGCTATATAGAAAACGCTGACATTGATTCAACACAGTCGGTAAATTCTCATTTTGCTAATCCTGCAAAAATAATGGTGGCGATTTGACAATTCACCATAATTACGACCAACATTCAGCAAATTGAACTTTAGTCAAAAAACACCTCTAGCGATACATAAAATGCGTAACAAACCACGCAAAACACGTATTCTTCATGAAAAATGAATCCCTAAAGGTTTTCTACCGACTGTGTTTATTTTGCCATACATAAAAAAACCATAGCGGCGACTCGTCATTTTACAACACTTCTGTTTTGGTTTGCCGACGTTAAATTGTGGGAGTTTAAGAGGTCGATACACGAAAGTAGCAGTTCAGTTGATATCGCGACTATGGATAATGCAGACGGTTCAAAATGTAAGCCTTTTATATAGTAGGAATGAACAAAGAATATAAATTTATATAATTATTTATTTGATTCTTTTTTGAATACCAAAATGAAAAAAAATATCATAATAAGATATTGTTTTTATTTCAAATCAAATGGATAAATGAACCTTTTCCTTCAAATGTGATCAATAAGTGATGTTGATTGTGACAATGACTGAATAATATTTTAATTGGATCGATTGTTGTTCCATAGATTGTTCAAGTAATGATTTTTCTTAGTGAAAATAGTGACCCGCTACCTAAAATTAGGGTTTAAAAACGCGTTATTTTTTTCAGTGTTTCCTAAAAACGTTTTTTTACAGAGCCGTTATTTAACGCCCGAAAAACGTTTATTTCGTTTTTTATCGTTATTTCTGCGGTATTTTGGACTGTAAAAAAAAACACTACAGAAAAATAACATTTTTATAACACCGTTTGCGGTATATGTCGAAACGTTTGTAAACCCTACCTAAAATACATGTATCATCAATAAAATATACGATTCAGTGTTGAAAATGCGTTTAATCTAAAAATATTCCGTAGAATTAAATCAGAAAGGCAAATCAAATTATGGTTAATTTATGTGTCAAGGCATCTTGGATGCTTGACTTATATCTGACCCGTGTGAAAAAAAATGACTGACTGACTATAACTTCAGTTGGTTGACTTTAGTTGATTGAATTTATGTTTTTTTTTTCTAAGAAAATCACTTGGTCCCAAATGAAGCAACTTAGATTGACTTGTAACTTCAAATGATTTCAGTTAACTATAGACTTACACTAAACTTTGTACTGAAATGTCAATCAAAGTAAGTCATTTTTGTCCCAAATTAGTTAGCTGACTGCTCAGATACTATTTTTTTCACACGGGGACGGATCTACATAAACTCATGCTATATATCAAGAAGTTTACATATTCTGTATTGATAGTAATGGGTCTATGTCTGTGTCTGTTTGATGCAACTTTAATCAATTTTTTATAGGTTCGGTGATACCGCAGCGTGTCGGAGTTTCATTCATGAGTTTCTTAGCGGTTGTTGTGACATTTTCGATGCGAATGTGTTTGTCGGTAGCAATTACTGAAATGGTTGAGCCATTGAATAGTATAGAAAGTAGTAATGAATCGACCATTTGCTCAATGAATTCGCCGTTTATTCAAAGTAGTAGCAGTGCTGTGAAAATGGTCAGTATTTGATCGAACATTGAGCAAAAAAAATGTTTTTTTTGACACAATTAATTTACGATGACAAACACCATCGAGTGTTGGAATAAGATGAAATATTTCTCATAGTGGTTATTCATTTGTTCACCAGAGTAGCATCCGATATAACTGGACACAAGAGCAACAGGGATGGATTTTATCATCATTTTTCGTTGGCTATTTAATAACACACATTCCCGGAGCTCTTCTCGCACAAAAATTTGGTGGGAAATGGACGCTAGGATTAGGCGTTTTGGCCATGACTATTTGCAATGCAGCCACACCGATAGTTTTACATTATGGTTAGTAAAATGCCCAAGTCTATTTTCTTCAGAAAAATTATTGTTTTTTTTCCTATTCGTCCATGATTATTTATAATTTTGTACTTTCAGGCGGTTATATAGCTTTGATAATATTACGAGCAATGATGGGATTAGGAAATGGTACCTACGTTTTGTATAACAATTGCACAAAAACATGTGTATATATTTGAAAAAAAATCTTAATGCATGTTCCCTCTAGGTACGATGTATCCTGCTCTCAGTGTTTTCCTTGCGTGTTGGGTGCCTAAAAAGGAACGTGGAAAACTTGCTTCGTTTGTCCTCGGCGGTTCACAGGTACATTTTCAATAATGCAACATTTCATGTCTTTTCTTCAAATTGCTCCATTTTCCAGATTGGAACTCTTGTTTCTTTCTATGTGTCTGGATTAATTCTTTCCCATTTTTCGTGGCCCATTGTATTCTATTTCTGGAGTGTTATTGCTGCTATTTGGTTCATTGTATTTGTGAGTTTTCCGAAATCGATCAAAACCAAAATCAATTTTGTTCGAATTTTAATAGAATGGATTTTTAGTCGTTTTTTTGTTACAATGACCCAGCATCACATCCATTCATTACGAAAACAGAACTGACCTATTTGGAGCTGGAAATGGGACAATTAAAACGTCACAATAATCTACCGCCAACGCCGTGGAAAGAAATATTCACAAGTGTCCCGATATTGGTACTCATATTTGCTCAGGTAAATAAATTTTTTCCGCGTAAAATTTTAATTCCAATTCTTTTGACCCACCATTTAAATACTAAAACAATAGATAACCAGGGATTATGTGATTCATGTGTTGGCATCGGATTTGCCGAAATATATGAAAGAAGTGCTTGGATTTTCGGCAAACGAAATCGGTCTCTACTCATCGTTGCCCTATCTATTGATGTTTTTCGTGTCTTTATTTTCCGGATTTATTTCTGATCATTTGATTAGTGAACAATACGTTACAGTAACTCAAGCGCGAAAATTCATCTCTGCCTTAGGTAAAGATTGACGTTCAATTTTTGTTGGCTATTTCAATTAAATAACAGCTTTTTTATTATTTTTTTCAATGCAGATAGTATTTTTTCATCTGTTTGTGTTGTTGCTGCCGCCTATGCTGGCTGCAATAAAGTTTGGGTTGTTGTTTGGTTCACTCTGGCATTCGGATTTATAGGCAATTATTATCCTAGCTTGAGAGTCAATATATTAGATTTGAGTCCAAATTATTCTGGGCCAATTATGGCTGTTATTAATGGAATTGCATCATTGTCGGGCGTAGCAGCTCCAACGGTTGTAGGCATGATGATCCCAGATGTAATTAAAAAAAAAATTGTATGAAATATGTTACACCGTTTACATTGATCAATTTTCATTTTCAGTCATCGTTTGAACAATGGAGACTAGTGTTTTGGGTTTCATTCGGAGTTTCGATGATTAGAACTGTAGTCTACACAATTTGGGCATCAGCGGAAGTTCAACCTTGGAACGAACCAAGAGAAAGTGAAACAACTCAATTGGAGAATCCAGAAGAAAACACATAAAAATAGAAGAAATTTTAGAGTATTATTCAATGGCTGTGATAGTTTATCAACTACTATAAATAAATGAAAATTTATTAAGAACAAAAACTATACGGGTCATGATCATTTGATGTATTCAAAAGGATTGGCAAAAATCAAATATATTGTTATCTTCAGTTATTCCTAAGTACAGTACGCCCCCGCAAATTAGAAATGAAATGTCCCGAGACCATTTCCAATTTGCGGAGTTTTCTAATTTCTGAGGTTTTTTCGCTTTCATCAAAAAACGGTGTATCAAATGAAAAACTGATAGGGGGAATGATTCGCTTAATTGAAAACAATATATTGAACACAGTTCAATCAAGTATTGTATGTAAATACATGCAGTTATTTTAGTGATTATAAATATATAGTAAGTCTGTTAGTTTATTTTATTGGATAAACTACTCCTCGGAACAAACCGAAATAAATGATGACCGGCTGTTCTTATTATATCAAAACGTTAGCATTCTATATAAAATTTTGTATATGCAAATTCTCTGATGGAACAAATCGGTTTCGATTTGTTAATGATTGATGATTGACGCAGACAATATGTCATTACGTTTTTTCATTAAAAATGAAGTAAATTTCCCTTTGTCTTGAATGAAATGATTCGGAAACCCCGTAAATTAGAAATGAACCCCGGAAATTAGAAATTTTCCATACAAATTTTCAAACCTGAAATTCATTTCTAATTTCTGAGGTTTTCTAATTCTCGGGTTTCTAATTTGCGGGGGCGTACTGTACAATCAATACTGGCCCAGGTGAAAGGTATGAAGCATAAAAACTTGAAGTCACAACGTCTGTTCAAAATGTTTAAATAACAAAAACTTCCCAGTTCGATTAGGTTTCTCAGTAACAGTATATTACAAGAAGTATTTTCGGAATGCTCACACCGAACGAAATTTTAAATTTTCCTCTTAGCAAAATATTCAAATTCGTTCAAAAGTCTGGCAGATTTTCCTCTCTAAGGAATTCAAATTCTGTCGGCACAACATTTTTTACGAGACAAGCTAGAAGGGACAACACGTCTAATGTCTTGTTACCAGCTGGCAATGTCATACAGTAAAAATGGATGAAAAATCACTTGAAAGCTATGTAGTGAAAAAAAAAATCTCTCTCCAAAACGGGTAGTGTTGCAAAAAGTCAATAACCTACGCGACGAGTAACCGCTGTGTTAATGATTTGTAAATATGATATTTTATGTCTAGTAAATTGGTAAATTGCCCATAAATCATTTTTGTGCTAAAATTGGATTTATTTATACCACTTAAAAGATTAACTTATCATCAGAAATAAATTGTCAGTGTACACTTCAGAACAATTTGCCCATTTTCAAATAGATGTCGTTCGTTTCCAAAGTTGATTGTGAACATGCTTTGTCCAAAAAAAAAGTAGTCACATCAAATTTAATCATGAATTTTTTCACTTCAACTTTGAAAGACTGAGCAAAACAACGAAATGAATTTCAGACGTACGTAAATTTTAAAATATTTTTTTTTATTTCATTCATTTTTTGATACCTTTCTGCAGGTTATTTGTTGCCTCAAAGGGTCAACATCGCAATAATGGGCTTTCTCGCTTTGGTTGTTGCATATACAATGCGAGCTTGTTTGGCCGTGGCAATTATTGGAATGGTTGAGCCGATGAATCGAACAGCAACTGAAAACAGTAGCATCTGTCCGATGGTAGAAGACAGATTTGACAGATTTGGAAATACAACCGTCAATGCAAACGTAAAAACACATCTGCGACTTCGTTTGAGTAAATTACCAGTTATATTTACGTTTACAATTAGAAAACCCTATTCACCTGGACGCAAGTGGAGCAAGGATGGGTGTTGAGTAGTTTTTACATTGGCTACGTGATCACACATATCCCTGGTGGCATTTTAGCCGAAAAATTCGGTGGCAAATGGACGCTGTCATTGGGCATTTTGTCAACAGCCATTTTTACTATTCTAACACCAATCGCCGCGGTTCATGGTGGTTTCATAGCAGTAATCGTTTTGCGTATCTTGGTATAGTATATCTTTGATCATATACTTATACGTAACATAAAAACGTAAACATAATGATCGTTTATTATAATTTTATTAATACTTACATGAACAAAAATCAGATGGGCCTCGGTGAAGGTACAACATTCCCTGCTCTCAGTGTATTGCTCGCTGCCTGGGTACCGGAGAAGGAGAGAAGCAAACTTGGTTCATTCGTTTTTGGAGGCGGTCAAGTAAGTACAAATCATTCGCTTTTCCAAAGAAGTAAGTGTGAGCCATTTCAACCGAAAAGTCAACCTTTTTTTTCACTCCAATCACAATTTATAACAAGTATGCACTTGACATTTTCAAACCGGCAACATGAATTTGGTCGTTTGCTCGATGTTTTTCTTTTTCTAGATTGGCAGTGTTTTATCTTATTTTATATCCGGATTGCTCATGCAGTATTTTGTATGGAATTATGTGTTTTACTTCTGGGGCATCATTTCGATCGTTTGGTTTATCATATTCGTAAGTTAAAATTTGGGGAAAATTAACACAATTTAAACCACTACAAAAGTCACTTTGCTTTAACAAATGGCTAACTTATCAGCGGTTTTTATTTCGCAGTCGCTCCTCTGTTACAGTGACCCAGCATCGGATCCACTCATTACGGATAAAGAGCGTGACTATCTTACAGCTGAGATCGGTAAACTAAAGCGTAGAACGGATCTACCACCGACTCCATGGATAGACATTATCAAAAGCATACCAATGCTTTCTCTCATTTGCGCACAGGTAAATTGATCAAAGAAGTTCTTTTCAACACAAAAATCATTGCAAGCAAAATTGTTTCTTTTCACAAAGATCGGACACGATTGGGGATTCTACATTATGGTTAGCGATTTGCCTAAATACATGAAAGATGTTCTGTCATATCCAGTTTTTGAGGTTGGACTATACTCCTCTTTGCCATACATAGCGATGTGGCTTATATCAGTAATGAGTGGTTGCCTAAGCGACTATCTCATTGGTCGTGGTTTGATATCCATCACATTTGCACGCAAACTGTTCACAGCTGTCGGTGAGTGTTTCACCAATTGGATTTCCGTGGAATAATTTTTTTGTTTTGACAGATTCTACATTTGACAAAATTTTATTTATTTCTGTTATTAAACTAAATCAACTTATTGGATTATTGAATATATGTTGACGAATGCGATCTTTATGCAGCCGCAATTTTCCCTGGAATCTTTATCATTGGCGCTTCTTATTCTGGATGTGATCGCTATCTAGTTGTTGGTTTTTTCGTCACTGCTATGGGGATCATGGGCACATATTATCCCGGTATGAAAGTCAATGCATTGGATTTAAGTCCAAACTATGCCGGTTCCTTGATGGCTCTAACGAACGGAATTGGCGCATTAACTGGTGAAGTTGTTGTTCCGTAGTTTTGTCAAACAACTATCCACAGCTTGAGTTAATTCCAATAGCTTTAATGTATTCGTCTTATCTTAATTTTTATATAGGTGTTGCATCGCCTGTTTTTGTCGGTTATATGACTCCAAACGTGAGTAAATATCTATTTCAATTACTATTTAGAATTTGTGATTGAATTTTATTGGCCGACTGCATTTCGAGTGGCTCTATTCACCCATTCGAAAACGTTTAATCATGACAATTTCTCAGTAAACACAATAGCTTACTTCATTTTTATTGATGTTTGAAGTGATAACGCTGAAATATTCGTTCACAGACTTCGCTCACCGAATGGCGCACGGTATTTTGGGTGACGCTGGCAATTTTTCTGGTAACAACAGTTGTTTATTGCTTCGGAGCATCCGGTGAAATTCAACTGTGGAACTATCCCCGCGAATGGAAAGAGCCTGAAGATAAATTAGATAAAAGCGAAAATAGAGAAAAGAAAAGCACGTAATGCAACAGATTAGGCATGATTTTTTGTATTAGAAATTATAATGTATTTTTAATTTGAAATGAACAATAAAAAATGCCGATCAAACGATGACTGTTTTTTTTAACATAGAACATGAATACTTTCGACCAAAAATTATTAGTTGCTATAGATTTTAGCCTATAGTTCATTTTCAAATGAAAGTTTCGTCTATTTCTAAACAGATGTCGCTTTCAATGAAAGTCAGTTTGAGTTGTATCCACACAACGTTCGAAAATAGTAGCCTTCTCGCTTGATTGTCATTGCTTTTCTTCAGTTTCAAGCATAACAAATCAAATGAATAGAAAAAATGACCAAAATATGTGTGTAGATTACAAAATCAGATTATAAAATCAATAAAATCTTATCATTATATTTTGTTTTGCAGGTTTATTGCGTCCTCCGGAGCGAGTGAAAATTTCTTTTTTTTGTTTCTTGGCCATCGCTGTTGGATTCATTATGCGAGCATGTTTATCGGTTGCTATTACTCAAATGGTGGTGCCAATAACAATCAACAATAACTCTGCCGTTGTTTGCCCATTAAAATTGGAATTGGAACAAGTAAGCCTTGACTATTATCAAAATGACAATTATTTGATCAAATTTTCATCAAAGCATGGAACTAGATATAATTGGACGCAAACACAGCAAGGTTTCCTGCTATCATCATTCTTTATTGGTTATTTTGTTACGCATATCCCTGGTGGGATTTTAGCTGACAAATTCGGTGGCAAATGGACGCTGTCATTGGGAGTCTTGGCCACAGCTATTTTCACTCTTCTCACACCAGTCACCGCTCACTATGGTCAGTTGAATTTCATTGGTTCTATTTTGTTGTTTTCAATATTCATTCATTGGTTTTTTTTTAACAAACAGAAACTTACTTACTAATCCAAATATTTCAGGTGGCTATGCGCCATTACTCACATTGCGAATATTCATTGGATTTGGCTTGGGCACATCATTTCCCGCAATCAATGTTTTACTAGCATGTTGGATTCCACAAAAAGAACGAAGTGAAATTGGTTCATTTGTATTTGGAGGCTCCATGGTACATCATTCACATTTAAAAATTTAATTATTTCGCATAAATTTTACCACTAATCTGATAACTTTTAGATTGGAATCGCTTTATCTTATCTTTTAACTGGATTGATTTTGGATTATTTGATATGGGATTGGGTGTTTTATATCTGGGGCATCGTTGCACTCGTTTGGTTTGGTTTCTTTGTAAGTATTGCAATGAAGAAAAAAAAAGATACAAAAAATCATAATTACCTTCTATGTTTCACAGACATTTTTTTGCTATAATGATCCAGCGTCGGATCCATTTCTTTCAAAAAAAGAGCATGACTATCTGGAATCACAGATCGGTCGACTGAAACGCAGTTCAGACTTACCTCCAACGCCATGGAAAGATATATTTAAAAGTATTCCAATGCTTGCCCTAATTTGTATTCAGGTAATTCACAATTCACAGACTCTACGCCATAAAATATAGAAAAATAATTGTAAATCAAGTTTCACCATTGAAAAATTGCTTCTTTCCATTAAGATCGGCCATGACTGGAGTGCCGCGACTATAATAACCAACTTACCCAAATACATGAGCAATGTTTTGGGATTTCCTGTTTTCGAGGTTGGCCTTTTTTCGGCGCTGCCATACATTGTCATGTGGATTGTATCAGTGGCGAGCGGTTTTCTCAGCGACTATCTCATTCAACATGATATTATATCGATCACTTTTACACGCAAATTATTCAGTTGTGGTGAGTTTCAAAATTCAAAGATAATTTACTAAAGGAAAACAGAACAAAATGAATGATTTTTTTGTTATCAGAAAGTGTCTGAAAAGGAGATGAAAAAAAAGAAGAAAAATCACTGCTTTTGCCTTGAACATTTTTGAAAATCACTTCATTTTAGGTACAATTTTCACTGCAATCTTCATATTAATTGCATCTTATTCTGGATGTAATCGCAATATGGCCGTTGCATTCTTTGTCGTCGCAATGGGTTTTATGGGCATTCATTTTCCCCATATTAAAATCAATCCACTCGATTTGAGTCAAAACTATGCCGGTATTTTGATGGCTTTTTCCAATGGAATGGGTGCGCTAGCAGGATTTTTCTCGCCGATTTTTGCGGGCTATATGACTCCGCATGTAAATATTGCAACACTTTTCTTCAGAAAAAAATATCTATTCGGTTTTTCAGTCAATTTAGATTAAGATAAAATATTCAATCAGTAAAAAATAAATTAAAAATTCATTCATAGACTTCCATCGAAGAGTGGCGTACGGTATTGTTGAATGAAATATTGAAATATAAAATGAATTGTTATCTCAAATATATTTAAATGTACAGGTATTTTGGGTAACATTCGGCCTTCATGTGGTGACAACAATTATTTATTGGCTCGGAGGATCGGGAGAAACTCAGCTATGGAATTATTCAAAAGAATGGAACGAACCTGAATATGATGAAAAAGATGAAATAGAAGAAAACAGAGCAGAGAAGAGCACGTGATATGGGAGAATTTTAATTTTATTTTGGGACAACTCCATTCGAATGTATTTATGTGTACTTTTGATAGAAAATTGGATTGGTCTATTAAAATATTGAGCATATTGTAAATAAAATAAAAAATTAGATTATTTCAGAAAAAAATGCATAAATCGCACTCAAACGTCGTTCTTTATTCACATATTCATATACGTGTGATTCACCAATCAACCGTTCGAAATCTATTCCGTTTCATTTTCTAAGCATGTGTATAATTTTCACGTTTGAAACGAATGCTCAGTAAGACGGAATGTGTATTCCCCGAATACGAGTCGAATGAGTTCTACCAGGCGCGCTTGAGTTACCGAAAGACTAAAACACATAGAGAAGCAACGCTCGTAAATCTATACACGATGAGTGACAGGCATAGATCGTTGGCAGTGTGAAGAAGACGGCATTAGGTCATCTGTATGCGGTCATGTTCATTCGTTGCTTCTCACACAACTACCGCTTTAGTAATAACAACTGCGTATGAGTGTGTTCGGCTGTCGTGGCCATCGTCGTTGCCGTTGCCGTTGTCGTTGTCTTTGTCGTCGTCGTTCGACTGGGAAGTGAGTTTTGAGCATTTTGTGACGAAGAAGCATGAACAATATGAGTGTTGCTTTCATCGTTTTTGACTATGACGTGCGCAGACCGACGTTTGTATTTCTACAATACATCGGAGCGGCGGTGTCTTTGTACGATGCTCGTTGATATGTGCGCCTGGTCGGAAATTTAGACAAGTGAGACTACCTCAATCCTCATCGTAATTGGATCTCAGTGAATGTGGTTCATTGCTTTAAAATTGACATTTCGCTTGGGCATTTTAAATGTGACAAACGCTCTTATATCGGTTTTTTTCGATTCATTTTTGCTCAATTGAATTCGAAAATTGCTACGGAAAATATAAGAGTTTCGATTTGGCAATTGTATCGCAGTTAATTATATAATCAAAGCAGAAAAATGGTGTAATTTCGCAAATTTTTGGTTTTGATAAACAAAAACTCTGTCACACATAGCAGAAAAATGGGCGAATTGTTCGTATTGCACGCAGAAAGCATTCTCCATCATTTTGGTTCGGGTGCGCGCTTGAGCAATCCTTGGTCTTTGTCGTCGCCGTTATTGTACATACGGTCTACTGTATGTGAGTGTGTGCTTTGTGCAAGGAAACCCCCTATGAACAACAGCCGGAGTGAATGAGAGCAAGAGAGAGTGGAGTATATGATTGCGTCGCGAAATGGATTGTCTGTTTCATCTTTTGTTTGACTCGGTTCGTCTGTATGCAATAGCACACCACGAAAAAAGCAATTGTCGACCAATCCTGCTCATGGATCCTGCTCGCCTGTTCGAAAAACACCATGCGTCATTTTGAGTGACGTTATTTAGACAGCTGTCAATATTCACCACATTGCGTCTTTGGAGTTTTTCTGCAACCGCTCACAAAACACACAGTTTGTGTGCTGTGTGACAACCATTTCTTGTCAGAAAAATCGGAATTTGCGGGAATTCAGTGTGAGCAAGAGAAAAAGGTTTGAAGATCGAAAACTTGGTGTATGGTAGCTAGCCAGGGGCAAATGGTTTTCTCCAATCTGTGATTTGAAAATTGCGCGATACGCAATTAGATTTTCCACATTTTGCCCCCATGGAAACGATTGCAGCTCGAGTAAATGTGGAAGATTCTAAGAAAAAACTCATTCCAAATCAACGTTAGAAAGCAGTAGAACTCAGAAAATACCAACCAATTCGCCGAAAACAACACATCTATTTCAAATGTATACAACGTTCCTTCGCAACATACAAACGCACACACACACACATACGCACACTTCAAAACTCTCAAAATTGTGAAATGCCTTACTCGTCCGATTTCTGTTCTCCTCATTTCAAAACTCAATAACGCAAGCGATAACATTTTTTTTCCGTGCCATCGACTTTGAGTTGAAGTGAGACCGACTCACGCGCGTTTCATTTTCAACATTCTCAAATGAAACCGAAAAGGCTCAATAATTGCTCATTTCTTCTGGTATCCTGTTAATAAAGTCAGTTGTATATTTCCCATGTGACCATTTGTCAACTAATTTCCTATCTAGAGAGTGAGACAGCTCACACAACACATTTCGCTTCGCCTTTGCACACATTCAATACCAGAAGAAGAAAAAACATGATATGATACTCGGGCGGTTCAAGTATATCATCGCCTCGATCCACTTGGATTTTGAGCAAATACCATCAAAACGAGAATACTACCGCTTTTTCGTTCAGTGCAACGGCCGAAGAAAAAAAGAAGAAGAAAAAAACTCATAAAGCAACCATCTCATTTCTGCTCAATTGCTTTGTGCTTGCCCTGACGCAGTGGAGGATTTCAAATTTAAATTTGAATCGGCGCACAGAATTCCGAGCCAAGTCACATCGAACCGAACCAAACCAAACAAAACCGAATTGATGAAGAAACGATTGCTTTTTGGTGAATGTTCGAATGGTTTCCTATCCATTTTGAATATTTTAATGTTTTCACACTTTTCCAATGCAGACTTGATCATTTTCTGACAAAAATTCCAATTATTATCGAGCGAAAACATCGTTCAAATAGCCGAAAGAACGAAATAAAAATGATTTTTCCATGTGAAAAAATGCCACTTTGGATAGCCCTTAAAATGAAATAAAATTTCAATTCACAACATGGTAACGCTTCGAGTGTGCCGCCGGTTGTTGTTCGAACAGAAACGAAATGAACGAGAAATTGCTGTCACTTTTTCAGTTAACGTCATGGTATTGTTACCGCGCGGCCATGTGATGTGCAAACGATGTGCGTCTTTCGGTTTTTCAGTGTGGCAGACAGGCAGACAGGCAGATCGAACGATTTTTCGCGTTGCGTACAATTGATTCGAGCGCGAATAGTTGTTACGGAGTCGATACTATTACGGACAAAGGTATCAGGGAGGCAGCAAATGTGACACGCGTGCATGATGCGCAGTAACATGAAATCGTACACAGTTGGGTCGTTCGTCAGCGAAACGAACGAGTATGTTGGTGTGTATGCATGGGCTAGGAAAATCGAAAGTATTCCTGTTTCGTTCATTCATTCGTATCGCGGGGAATCCGTGTTAGCCCGATGATCTTGCCATAGAAAATAGATACACGATTTTTACGTACTGAATCAAAAGGAGTCCGCGTTGATTTTCCGTGTGAGAGCGAGAAAAATGCTCGCTTCCCAAGCGAGAATGCAATGCACCAATACACACTCTCAATCGAGTGGAAAAATATGGTCGACAAAGGAAAATCTGACATCATCGCACGCGCGCGTTTCCTTTTTGCTCCGAATACAGAAACAACATCATTTTCCGAAATAGAAAACTGGCTATGTATTTTTCTATGCTTTGGATAATTGGAATTCGTTAGCCTAAGATATGGAAAAAAAGGGAAAAAATAGTGCGATTTTCCGAAGCGATTTTCATTAGATCGGCGTAACGACGCTAATAGCTTTCCCTGGTTTTTTACCAACCGAGCAGCAAAACCAGGATATATTACAACGACGCCGAGATTTTCCACCCGAGTCACCGACACACACACACACACACACACGGCCAACCATCAAATAGAGAGAACGAAAAACACAACACTTGAAAATAGAATAACGGTTCACACCGACGCCTCCGAAAAGAAGGAAAAAAAACACATATGCCACACGACCCAGGCGACCGAATACAAGTCTCATAACACACATGTGCGGTGCTAACAAAACCGAAGAGTGAAACAGAGAGTCGATGAAATCGAGAGGAGCTGACAATTCGAGGGGTATCTATATTTAGACTGTATATAATTGCAGGCATGCGCGCCTGCACTAAATGCACCACCTGTTGCCATCCACAGTCAAATATTATATCCCATAGTCCACACGCACCATGCAACGGTTACACATTCGCTGAACAGTACCCGATAAGCATGTACAGCGCACAGACCATTGCTCCTGATTTTCAACCAAACGAAAATCGTTCAAACTTCAAATGAAACAATCTACTTTGTTTTCCAATGTTTTTCGTCCAAAGTAATCAATACCCATGAATAATTCAAAACTTTTTTGAATAGAAACAAGAAATCAAACATGATTTATTTCAAATGAAATGAAAATCATACGATGTCTACTTGATTCGTTCTACTCCAAGAGACTCGCTCCAGAAATGAGAGAAAAAACTCGCACATACTATACTTATCATTGCTCCATAAACAAACTCTCAAGTGTGTACAAAATACAAAAAAAAAACGAATAGGAAGAAACAGAAAAAAATACAAATCAACACAGCACAGTACATAACAACACGCGGTGGAAAGAAGAACATGAAATTTAAATCGTAAATTGTACGATTCTCTCGTACGGTCGTTTCGAAGCATAGAATATGATAGCCTAGTAAAAAAGAGAGATGTTTTTTACGTTTTCCTTCGATACAACTGGCGCTGAAAGTGAGAGAATTTTTCGAATTTATCGGCGAATGGTGTGCTGTTTTGTGTTCTTTGTGTGTTTTGATTGCTTTGTGCCAAAGATGATGGCGGTGCACGGAACATTGCCAGACAACCAACTACGAATCACACACACACACACCGAATATTCACCGAATATGCTGAATACAAAACACTTCTCATGGTGACTCACAGTGGACGAAAGAACCCAGCGTGCATAAATGCTAAACAACGAAATCGGCAACAGCACATTTGCAGAGCAATTGGCATCGCAAACTGTATCGTCTTCGTGTGGCTGACTGTGGTTTCTTCGTTCGCATCACACTCAAAAACACCAGTGTCCACTTTGAATGTGCAATTTTGTTTTGAAAACACACGACGCCCGGTGCGCATACACCGTACAGAGAGAAAAAAAAGCCACCAACGAATTCGCATGAAGTTGAAACGAGAGATAGTAAACAGAACAGCAAATCGCAATTGACCAGAGACACTGACTCAATTCATTTTTATATACGTACGGTGTCGCATGCGATCCTGGGCCAAATGAAACGTTTGAAATGTCGAAAATTTCTTTTCGATTGCATACCTAGAATTGCTGTACGAGCAAACGATTTTTTGCTTGGCTGCTTCTGTGCGGCTAATTCATTTGGTAGTCGGTGATGCGTTCATGGTTTGTGTAAAAGTAAAAAATGAATGCAAATGCAAAATGGACGCCGTCACTGTTCATACGGATTCTTAGCGCCTGGTCATTGACAATTTTACAATATGTACTTTGACCACGTAGAATTGGATTTCCAATGCCGATTCCAATTCCGAAGGCATAATTCATAATTATTTTTTTTTTCGTTTCGTCTCTTCTTTTTCGTCACAACTCAACACAACACACAAAGCAACGCATCCGATCGCTTGTACATTTGTGTTTCTATTTGTTCTAACCGAATCAAAAGTTGTGTACTGTTTCCCCCTTTGTTATCGTTTCGTTCAGTTCGTTCGCGCTCAACCAACGTACATTATACACACAGTGAGCTCAACCGCGTACATGCTTATGTTCGCCTGGTCAATAGCCACAAAAACAGACTTTAGACCTTTATAAAACCTTTATAAAAGTTGAAAAAGCGTCTAATGCCATCTCTCAATTTTCAACAAATGCTCATTTCCGTAACTTATTCACAACAAATTTCTCGGTACCGAACCCAATCTGTTACACACTCGACACGGCGACTACTACTGTTCATAAAGTAAAAAGTGAATATTGTTCGGTACGAGTGTAACAGAATACGAAAACATGTTGTTCAACTAAACGATCGAAACACGGCAGAGTCGAGAGCGTGTGCGGTTTCGAAATGGGCTACACTGTGTGCTGCCGCATGAATGCCTGTTCGATAACCAAAGAAACGATGAGGCCGCGGTCGTACACGCGTTCACGACCAAGCTAACGACACATATACACCACGAGTGATTGCCACGAAATATCAATCGTTCACATCGACAAAACGACATACCAAAAACGCAACCATCAAAATTGACCGCTCTTCGGAACGTCTGTTGCGTATCGTGGCTATTTTCGCGCATCGTTGCATAAAATTGCAGAGATTTTGCACGTTATTTTAGGCGAATTTCAGACAATTTTCTGTAGAAAAAAATGGAATTTTTCCCCTTTGAATTCGATTAAAATTTTGCTATTCAAAATTCCACTGAATTGTGAACGGATCGAAACAATTTTTACACGATTTGATTTCACGGCAATGGTCATCGCAATGTGATCACAAGAATCGTTGGCAACTTCTGTATGCCTAATCGTTTGAAAGTGAATTTTTGTCATTATCATTCAAGTTTACATCATAGCTATGGCCGAGCGTCCATTTGATAGAGATCTTTTGTGTGTTGCTGCTAATAAACGCTGTCATTTTCTGAACTAGCACTACGATTTGTGGCCAGTTTTCGGTTGTCAATGTCAAACTGTCTTCTTTTCTCTCTCTCTACGTTCTTTGTTCGTTCGTTGGGTCTTTGTGAATGGGACAAGAGCATGTATGCGTGTGTGTCAGTCTGTTCTATTGAACGTTGTTTCGGAAATATACGTTACGCAGTTCTGTGTGCCTGATCAATAATCAAAGAAAACTAAGACGGAAGAGCAAGCAACTTTCGAACTATTTATTAACAATGATGTGTTTGTGATTTTGCATTTCTCCTTTTCCAATGTAAACCATTTCAGTTAAGTTGTTTATTGTTGAAAATGTTCTAGGCAAGCATACTTTCAGCACCCGTTTATTGCTTTGCTTTTGCTTTCGTCTTGCTTTGCTTCGAAAGCAAATGAAAAAACTATCATCCATGTTTGCTGCCACATGGGATAGTTTGTACGAAACTCTCTATGACAACCGATGGTTATTTGTAGTAGTCGAAAAACGTGGCATGAAGGAAACTATTGAAAGGAACTAAAAACACACTTAGATTACGCACGCATCACACCGGGCTCTCTCTCTCTCTTGTATTCTGCTCGCCTGGCCAAAAGCACCAAATGTTCGAAAAAATGAATTAATGTCGCGCGATGGCAATAATCACTGGCACACACACATTAATTCGATCGTCGCCTCTGTGCAAACCGAAGCACAGCGAATACGAAAAATCGAAGAAATACGGCTAGCTACTGAACGTTCGAGCTCTGGTTTCGCTGTCTTTTTTCGTCTTGGGTCTTGTTAAATTGTTATCAGTGTGACAACGGAGAACGACGTCAGTGTGGCAGCTGCTGCCGTTTTATGATCGCTTGGTATTAAACGGAAAAGTTTGTGTCACTTATGTGTTACAAATGGCCAAAAGAGAGACAGTTTATAAGCTTTTCACTGATCCAGAGCCAGCACCACTTTGGATTTTGTGTGTTTGTGTTTCTGTTTTTGGTTTCATTTTGTTCTGTTTCTTTTTTTTGACGTTTTGCCCGATGTGTTGTGTGTAGCAAAACTGTATTGACACATACTGTGCTGGGCTGTGACAAATACGCGCGCTCAATGCGATACAAATCACAAGTCCTAAATGCGCACTAGCCTTGCGTTTTATGTTCGCCTGATGACAAACGGAAAAGTTTGAACAAAATCAGAGTTTCGTCGAATGGCTTTAAGAGTCACTGACTCACAACCATCGCCATTGCATTGCAATCGCTCCACTTAAACAGCGGTTCAAATGTTTGCTTCCAGAAAAAGTTTTTTTTGTTGAGAAAATTCAACCATTCCGAACATTTTCCTGATTTTTTTTTTTTGGTTTTTCATTAAAAACATCGATTTTTAAAATGGATTAATCACAATTGGAATTGAAAAAAAATATCGATTGAATGAGAAGAATTGTTCGATGTGATTGCGGTGATATTTTCGGTACGACATTAGCCGGGGTACTGTCATTGATAGTCGCGCGTACACTGTGTGTATGTCGCCAAAGGGATATTGTAACTTTTCTGACCAGAAAAAACGCCATCTAACGTCGTGCCCGTAAATTATTTTACTATACATTTGAGTGGTAGAGCTTGAACAAAAGTTCGACACTATGCATAAACTTGGAAAGAGCTTGATAAACTTGATGAAATACATATATTTTATGGTCGTTGCTATACCCCTATGTATGTCGCTGATGATCGTGTGTTTGATAGTCTATTGCCAGAGTAAATGTTAATGATAATTTCGCCCCATCATTGTTTAATAATACGAAAATTAATAGGAGAGCAGTAAATATAGCACGACCGATGCGGTTGGTTTAACGATGTGCGCGCGACAACAACGAATATCGCACATTCCATTTTTTGCTGCTTCATCCAACTGTATTCCTATCCAGTGTATGAAATACTGTTAAATGGAATGGCAATTGCTGGTTGGAAAAGTACAACCGAAATATGTGTGTGGCTCAAGAGAAAGAATGGAATTTCGAGGAAAAGAGAAAGAGAGAGAGAGAGAGAGAGAAAAAGAGTGTGTGTACGTAGAGCCATGAGAATCGGGCGGCAAACATTGGTGCAATTTCGAACAGATAACAAATTTCGAGTAGTAACGTTGCTTGAAACACGCTTGCCTGATACTTTTTCCAATGTTCTCGACTGTGTCGTCGTAGCCATCACACACAAATGCCGAACGGTGTCGGTTTTTTTGAATTGGAAGAACAAGCTGTGGCAGCGGTGACGACGTGAAAGTGTGAATGCCCTATGCGAATGGTGTGTTGGTAAAATGCGTGTCCTTGACGAAGCCCTTGGAAATTGGACAACACGTTTCGGATGTTAAGCATGTAAACAGGAGACCATAAATTCCAACAGCACACACACTAAAACCCTGAATGATGAAAAATGAAACACCGGAAGAAGTATCCTTTGAATTCATTACATACCATTTTTTCCCACTTAGGTACATCGCCTGCCGGTGTACATGTCCTATACGAAATATATCGAATGAGCTATATTGAATGACGCCTGCATGCTACGTACAATACCATTTGCACACACTCGTTTCGACTCAGTGAACGTTACGTAGAGAACATACGTACGGACGATACAATGTTTCCAGTTACAAATTCGGTTTCTTTGTTCCAGTTTTCTTTTCAACACACGTTCAACACTATGCAGAGCATGGTTATTGGCATCGAGTTATTGGAACCTCATACTTGATATAAGCGACTTCATTCCATACTATGCCCTAAATGCAACCGAATTTATTATGCTGCTTAGAAACGCAATCGATTCCTGTTTATTTACAACTCGATAAGTTTTTCCCTTTTCTCTTTCAAACAGAGGAAATTATTTTAATCGAGAATTGCCTGTTTGGTTTCAGTATTTATCAGTGGGTTTTTGTTTTTTTTTTTTCAGTCGGTTTTCTCGTTAAAGGAAAATGAAAGCAATCTTGTGCAAAATTTGAGTTTTCGGAAATTTTAAGCAATTTTTTAGAAGTTTCATGTGATTTTCTCCTGGCTATGTGTCATAGATTCGAAGAAAAGTGATAAAATGTCTGAGAGAGTGTCGCAAAGAGAGGAAACTAATGGGAACACAGCACTGGATTGGGAGATTTTTGACATTCTATGCCGAGAAGAACTCGGTTTGCCTGTGAGTTTTGCTTTTTGCTTCAACAGATTTTTTTTATTTTAAAATCCAAACATTTCGTTTCATTGAAAACTTTCCGCTTCAAGAAGGAAGCGAATATTCGGGAATTGAAATTAAGCTCGAAAAATCGACCAGCACAAGATTTATGTGGCCGATAGGTTACAGCTTCAGTGTAGCAGTGCTTCAGTGTTTCAGTCTACATTCCAAGAACATTGCACAGAAAATGTATTCTGAATCAACGTGAGGCTAAAATTGTGTTGTCTCCGTTAATCGACTGGAACCGTGTTCGGAGTTTATGTGGGAGCATTAGTCAATGAATCCAATAAGAGTGATCGCTACTAAACTAGTCGTAGTAATTGGAAATGCAGAACTGACTATAATTTTTCTTCTTGTGACAGTCGTTGCTGCTGCGAATATACGCTGAAATGGATTGAAACTGAATCGAATTTGGTTTTATGAATGGCAAAAGAGAGAGAGAGAGAGAGAGAGAGAGAGAGAGAGAGAGTTATCAACGTGCACGAAACAACAAAACAACAAGAAAAATTAGAATTGAGGACAAATTTACCATATTTCCGACATAAAATGTCATGTAAACAAGTAAAAAAGGCACGAGAATTTGCAAATCAATTTTTTTTAGGCATAACATGCATGAGTCGAATCGTTGCTATACCAACATTCAATTTATTTATTGAAATGAAATAAAGGAAAAATAATGCTCGGGAATAGGAATGTTGAATGCAGGAACAGCGCAAAACTTATCTATTCATATAAGTTTAGTTGTGTATCAAGGGGAAAAAAAATTTCGTAGCTCTGCCAACATTCCAATGCGTCACGCCTTTGCTCTTTGAACTGTGAACCCTTCAATGTAAAACGCTTTTTTCCGTGTCTGTGCCATTCAATATTTGGATATTTTGAAATGCAGGTAACATACAACTGACGCGATTGATTTGAATGAAAGGATTTATTTTTAGATTCTAATATTTATTTCCGTGCCTCTGCTGATTTTCTTCCTGTTCAATTATAATCCATAGTTCTGTTTTCAGCTATTGTTCCATTTCTAGCGACTTTATTTTATTCGAAACAATTGGTTTCTGCGCGACGAATTTTGTCAATTTAATTTGCATAATCCATTTTTTGCATAACAACACAGCAAATTCCAAATAAGTTTTGCCAGTGCTCGTAGATACCTGCATAACAGTGGTCGGTCCGTGCAGTTTATTCACTGAGTTGTACTTCTTTGAAACAAATTGAACGAAATTATTACAGGAATTTTTTCATTCAAGAGCATACATTAAAATTTGCTGTTGTCTTTGAAGAATTATTTTTTTTCCCAGAAATTTTCATTTTAATCATTTGTAATCTTTACCTTAAAGTGTAAATTGAATCGAAAATGAATAGATCTGCATCGCCATTTCGTGTTCATTCTCCACGTTTGTCATATCGATCACTGCCTCGAGCGCGACATTGTTCACCAAATCCTCATCATCATCGCTCTCATTCGCCACATCATCATAACCATCGATCGCATTCACCTCGTATCGCTCATGTAAAATTAACAATTTGAATTGGAATGGTTCAGATTGATTTTGAATTTTCAGATTTTTCATTCACAACATTTTCTTCTTCAATAATCGAGAAACTTTATTTTTTCTCAAGAAAAAAAGTTTTAAATGACATTGAAAATGAAAAAAAAAATTGATATGTAGCTTATAATATGTACCCAAAAATTAATAATTAAAAATTTTTGTTTTTTCCTCGATCGATATTTTTCCAAACAGACCGATGTGCCTTGTGTTGACCATCATCATGTGACGCATGCGATTGACTTGACAGCGACCTTAAAAAGTGAGCTAGCTGCATCGAACTACAAACGAGACCGTCTATTGAACGAATTGGCTGATTTGAAAGGCAGTCTGAATGCACGCGATGCCGAATGCGAAACATTGCGAACGCAAACCGCTCGACAGTCGGCTTTGATAAGTTCGTTGCAAGGCAAAGTGCATGCAATCGAGAATCGAGAACGAGCTTCAACGAGTCGCAACGAAAACACAATCCAAATGTTGCAGCGCGAGAAGAAGGTAATGGACGATCGAATCAAGGATTTGGTGGCACGAGTACGACGTCTTGAAGGCGATTTATCATCGGAAGAAAGCCAGCGTGAGCTAATTAGGTCAGTCATAAACTTATTATGAAACTTTTTAAAACAAAGCAAATATTGTTAAGTAAATAATCTTCGTCAATAACCTACTTGTGGATTTTATTTGCCAAAACGAGCTTCTATTTATTGATTGCTTTCATTTTTCTAGGGCACAATTACAAGATCTAATACGTCGGCTGTGTGTTTGTTTGGCCGTTGATGTGTCGGATGCCACGAACCTCAGTCCCGAATTGGTTGTTGCCAAAACTGGTGAAATGATGGCCGATTTACAGCGCGCACGTAACAAATTGGCGTCAACATGCGAATCGTTGCACACTTGTGAAGCGGAATTACTGCAAACGCGCACCGCTGCCTGCAATGACAAGCAACGGCAAGATTTGCATTTGCAAGAGTTAGAAGCGCGGTGCCGTCAAACTGAACGAGATTTGCAAACGGTGCGCGACCGATTGGTCGAAAGTGAAAGTACGGGCGATAAATTACGCGAAGAATTACGTGGCTTTGAATCGCGATGCTGTCGCCTCCAAAACACAATCGATCGCATGCAAAACGACCGATTGCAATATTTGCGAAATTTGGCATCGATTGTTTCGCTGCCCGATCCATGCGAAACCGTGATCAAGGACAAAGTTCGCGATGTCGTCAATGAAAACCAAGCACTTCAATCGGTAAATTGGATTTTAAACGGATTTTTGTTTTGGTTTTTCTTTTCAGATTGAAAAAAGTGTGTGTGGCAATTGAAACAATTCCGCCTTTTTTTTCGTCATTCTTTCAACAGCAATTGCATAATCTGCGCGATCAGATGAACATCGAAACGAACAAATTACGAAATGAAGAAATGCAAAAGTCGACGGTTGCAGAGCGATTGGAAAAAGCATTGCACGATTTGCATCAGATGAAAAACGAACACATCACGGTACAAATGAAAATGACAATCAACATCTTTTTACTTCGGCTTGATTTCATAATACTTTCATATTATTTTTGCAGTTGTCTGAATATTTGGTACGAATGTCTCGAGCATTGGCATGGAGTGAATGCACTGCACAACCAGCACCAGGTGCAGATACGACTTTATTGGCCGAAACACTGTTGGAACGTGCTGAACGACTGACGACGCATCATGATCATCACTCGCATACGCTTCCATTGGATCATAAACATTGGGACAGTTGCCATACGTTGCATCCACATCCTCATCAACATCCACATGCACATACGCAGATTAAATCGTTGAAATTAAGGCGTGAACGCTCTTGTCACGATCTCCCAGTGAAAGAATCCACTGCCATGTACAATTTGCAACGCAAAGTTCATTCGTTGAAAGACCAAATCCAAAGGAAAGACCTGCAAATCGAACTGCTCAAACGAAAATTGACACTGACCGAAGAAGGTGTACGCGGAAAGTGCATCATTCAGGTTGTTTATTGCTTTTGGATGATTTGGTCATCATTATTTTTAAACTATAGTTTTTTTTATTCATTTTTTTCTTTTGATTTTTCTTCTAAATTTCCTTCAACTGTTGAGTTTTATTAGCCGTTTTTAAATCTTTCATTCTCAAACCCATTCAGAATGAGCGCGATGAAGCGCTTTGTCGAATCAAACGAACATCAAAACAGGCGGAAAAAGCATGCCACGAATTAATCGAATCAAAGGCTCAAATAGCTGAACTCAAAGCGCAATTAGTCGATGCGGCCGAAAATAAAATCTGTGCTCTTGAACGAGCTCGTAAAATTGAAGATTTGCAAGCGCGTTTGGCCGATACGGAAGCGGAGAAGAACCGCTTAATCGCACAGCTGCAAAATTTCAAAGCACGTTGCCGATCAACGGTCGACAGTTCAATAGACAAGACGCGACGTGATGAGCAAATCATAAGTGTATGTTTTAATTTGTTTTTTTTTTTGGGTCGGATGAAAATTATTATATTATGAGTTGAGCGAGTTGGAAATTGACCGAAATCCGAGAAAATACGTACTTGTGCAATATTTGAATATTCATGTTTTTCCAACATTTTTCAGAATTTGAAGGATGACATTGCACGCATACGTGTTCAACTATCAGAGTCGAATCATAGATTAAGTCAGTTACAAACATTCCGAACATCTGTGGCTCGTTTGCTTCATTTACGAGATATTCCACACTCAAGTCTATTACAACGACTACAAACGCTATGCCAAGCACATCAGGTAATAACACGCTTCAACCACATACACTACAAATTTTCGTCAACTCATTCTCTTTTCTTTGAAATAATGAAAAAAAATCTTTTTCACATGAACTGATTGAATGAGTAAATCAATCTTAGCTAAAAAAATAAAAAAATGTCTTAATTTTTGACATTCAAAGAAAATAACTGACTTTTCAACTTTGCATCTTCCAAGGAATTCACAATGCTGTCTCGCCGTTATGAGGCCGTTTCTCCAGTTGCAGATCATCCTTGTCCCCGATACGAGACAGATTTGATACCTCCGTCAAACCATTGTCGACCGTTGAGTTCAAGTCCGGGAAATCATCGTCGTTTCGATGATTCGGGTTTAGATGAGCATTTCGACGATGAGTTTGATATTTTAAAGAAGAAGTCGCATTTTTAGTCTATTTTGCACATTTATCACGTCCACCGAATCACTAACCCATATTGATTGAATAAAATTCACAGTATTCATTATAATCAAATCACGTTTTTCAATTCGTTTCGTTCAATGTTTCAATTTTGCTCAAAGTTTCTATGGAACTTCCAAAACAAGTTGGAACTATCTATCGCACGATAGATGGCGCTGATGGATTCATCGAATGTTATGTATTCATGAATCATGATGATCTTTGAACTTGAAATGTGTGTTGATTATGCAATGGAAACAGTGGGAATGTGCGACAACGAAATTGAATGAATCAGTGAAAATGTTGACGTGATCTGATAAAACAGGTGTTGCTTTGTTGAATAATTTTTTAATTTTTATAAGATGAAAGATGTAATTTGTAAAAAAAAACTGACATCATAATCGACCGTTCTTTTGTATAAGGTGTACCTGTCTCTCCCACAGTTAAATCATTATATCTCAAATTGAATCATAATGAACGGAGAAGAAAAAATCTCGTGATTGTAATCAAGTTCAATTTCAGCGTAATAATTTCATCTAAAAGTGAGCAAATGAAGACAAAACTGAAAAATTCAAGGCTTTTGACCGCTATTACAGATTTCTGTCGTGATTAATGGGTCTGTTCAATCGGCGCACACAGCAAGTGGCTCGCCGTTGGTCACACTCCATATCTAAGATTGAATCGTGGCGTTGCGTTGAAATATTAGCAAATTCTCAGACAATGAAAAGTCGTATGACTGGTGAGTTTCCGACATTAAAACAATTGTTTGCAAATTCGATTTAGCCCACATGTGAAATCCATCGATTAGCCTGGACGCAAGTATGAAAACGAAATGAACTGAAGAAAACGAAAGAAGAAACGAAACAAAAACACGTTTGAAATGTAAACAATGGCGTGTAAATGAGTGAAGACAGCAGCATCGTTTACGAGCAACAAAAAAAAAATGACGGCAAACCTGAAATCCACCGAGAAATCGGAACATTTTCAAATAAACGTCATAGAGTAGTTGCGAATTTTATGCCGAACACGAACAATAACAAAAAAAACACACCGCGATTAATCCAAATTGCATTCATGGCCGTTAAATTTTTAAATTCACCTCATTAGTCATCATTTGGGCTGAGAAACGTCGGAAACGGTTGCTGGCATTTTTGCGATGCTAGATGGGGGCATTAGGACAGAAATACTTCTAATCAAAACACCGTATAATACGTTCGAAGAGAAGAGAAACAACAAAATAATTATAATGGGCAAAGGTCATTTGTGATCGCTTGCTATTACAACATGTACAACGACGGGCAGGCAATCCATTGTATTAGACGAAACCCAAACAATGATCGGTCAATGCGCCGACAATAATAACAGCAACCGCACAAAATTTCGTGGCATTTAAAAAAGTTTAATTCAATTTCGATATTGATTCGGCGGTGTAAGTGTACCATATTATTTGTCGCTAATTGCGATCATGAGCAAATGCAAAAGCCGACAACAATCGCTGGGCATATACACGTATATAAATTACGAGATCGATGAAGCAATCCCTCCTTCTGAGCTGATTCAGTATTGCACATTAAATGCATTCGATTCTTTTAGATTCGGTTGCTGTGTACGTGTTGTTCGATCCATCGCCATCGACGACGTCGACATCGTCGTGGTGTGGTGTCCCCGTCAATGGCTGTTGCTTTGTTACAACATGTGTGGCAATCGACGAGAGAGCGTGAGCACACGATTTTTTTTTTGTTAGATTGATCCAAATGCACCATCGTACATTGTGTGCGCGCTCATGGACGATTAAGAACAGCGATGCGTGAAAATATTAACATCATAATTAAGTCAATTTCTAATGGCAACACCGAACCAAACAAGCAATATATATATATACACCAAACAACTGATTTCATAATCACCATAGAGAATGGAACAAGTGGTTTTTTTTTATTTTGGCAAAGCATATAATCGCCGAATTTCGACTGCTGCGATCGACTTATTGATATTATAGCTCAGAGTAATTGATTTTTTTTTCTTCGTCTTTTTTTTATTGCTCTGTTTTTTTTATATTGTGTTTACAAGAGTGTTATTTTGGTACATGGCCTTTGAGGACGTCCGTCGATTGACTGACTAACTGACTGATCACTGTGTTACTCGTTGGATTCGATTGTTGCTGTAGTTGAGATTTTTGTTACTAGAATTAACTTTCGCTTTACATTTGTACACCGTACGCGAGCGCGCAGTGTATACGACATGCGGAGTTTGTGTAACGAAAAAAAAAATCACACAATAAAATTGTTTCAACAAAACACCTTAATGTTCATCCGCAGCATAATTGGGGCCTGCGCAAGCTTGCTCGCATTATTACTCTACATAGATATATATATTTTAATGTCTTGTTTCTGCTGCTTGTCTTGGCAATGTGATGGTAATTTTTGATTAGCGCACCATTAAATAATAAGCTAGTTGACGTTTATTACAGGTGTTAAAAATAAACCTAATGTAATATTCAATATGGTTTTGTGTATTTGTGTTTTTTTTGTCTCTCCTTCGTTTGGTCTCTGTGTATATCTTTCGACTATAATTCATTAAATGGCATATCGTGGCCAAACACACAAGTGCAATTGATTTCATTTTTCATAACAATTAATATGCGAAAAAAATATGTCGCTCAATGCAAATAAATCATTCATTTATATTTCGGTATGAACCGAGACAGGAAATTAATAATCCAAAAATCGCATTTATGCACTTTAATTATTTACAACGCAAGAAAAACAGCAACAGCAACAGCAACAGCAACAGCAACAGCAATAACACACAACGCCAATGTGTTTTGCAATGTAAACAATGAAAACGAAGTTATTTAAGTCAATGAACAGCATAAAGTGTGATTCTCTGTGATTTGGAACTGAGCACAGGCATGCTGCACTGAAGAGTTGTGTAAGCGGTGGCTGGCTGGCTGGCTCACAAACGAAACAAAAAATGGAAAGGAAATCCAATCGCATTTCTGGCCGACGACGACGGCGACGACTCGCCAAGATCAGAAAAAGAACGGGGTCAAAATTAAATATGTGCACAGGCGAATAATATAATCATCGGGATATGCATATATTCATGCGGCGGCTTACGTACTACGACGACGAAGACGATGAAAAAGAAACAATTACACAATGGACTACACACAGTTTGCTTTTTGGTCAAGCCGTAAAAAAATGCACACGTACCGCTCAGATCGAACAAGTGATTCAAAGCGGTTCATAAAAACTATGAAGTAATGTGCACAATATAATAAATTGTGTGGTTTTTTTTCGTTCGTTCGTTGTTATGATTTTTAATAAATTCAGTCATAGTTTGATGGTTTTATACTTCGGCTCGCTCGCTCACAAAGGAAACTGTCTCTAAACCGAAACGAAAACCAGCCTACACACGGTCGCCTCATTCTGTACTTTTTTCTGCGCACTGCACGTTAGTAATGCTTTTCACATGGTTTACGTTTTATCGCTGATTTTCTACGATTTTTTGCCTTTATTACAGGCTTTTGATCATTCATTTATTACCAGGCTCGATTCAGAGAGCCCAAGTCCGATGGATTTATGTATACGATACAGTAGACGGTAATCATAATAATCGATGAGAAATACTAACACACTTTTATGCGATCGCAATTTATCATTCATATTTTTTGAGTGTGTGCGATGGCACAGTCAAAACGAAAGTCAGCTGCAGGCTTAACGAAACTCGTCATTTACATTCATAAATGTTCCATATTCTCTTCTCTCGGCTGTGTTCCATGTTGCATTTGATTGGCATGTGACTTCACATGATATGATATAACCCACTCGATGAGGAAGACACATACACACTAAATGAATCCGCTTTACAATATTTATTGCATATTTTACCTGTATCGACACAGGAACAATACCCGTACATTTAAGTGTTAATTAAACATGCATATTCATCACGAGCATATTGGAATATTTGAAAAGAGTGAGTAAGCGAGCGTGAGAGACTCTTTCAATTGGAGAGAGGGAAAAGGAGAGAGATAGACGGTTAAAATCAAATCAAGTGGAAAAAAACTCGCTTCGTTTCGAGTACGTAGCAAATAAGAGCACAGCATTGTAATAATATTGATAAGAAAGGGGAACACCAATTTCGGCAATTCTTCTTTCTTTCAATTTTATTACTTTTCAAATTACTTTTTCTCCAGCTACAGTGCGCCCCCGGAAATCTAAAGTAGCAGAAATCTTAATCTCTTGGAAAACTTAAGGGAATTTCGGCTCCCATTGACTACTCTGAAATCTTAAGTTTTTCTTAAGATTTGTGAGAGAATACTGTATTTCAAGTAAAATAAATTTATTTTTTTCCAATTATTCATTTTTTCGAACAATAACATAACTATATCGAAATGTACAGACAACATAAAATTGTTTTCACAAATATATACAATGTTAGAATTAATCAGCCAACCGATTTACAGCTATTTCTTTGCCTGAACAAACGATGCGATAACGCTTAAGATGGTTTACAGCGTGAATAAATCACAGTAGCCTTTGTTTTAACGTGTATGCACACGTAAATGACTCCGTTTGCTGTTGCTGGTTGACTTTACAGCTGTATTCTCAGTTTGTTATTTTAGCGAATTTTTAATCTAAACAAACAATGTGACGACGCTGAATCTAACCGTTCACAGGAATAAATAAAAGATTACCGAAATTTGTGGTGTTTTTCCTTCATTTTTTGATCATGTGAAACTATTTATTAGATTTCTTCTGTTGTTTGTAGCTTGAAAAAACTTGAATACAGTTTAATTGATAATAAATGTGGGTAAGTGATGTATATTTTCGATGTTTCCTTTGCATTTAGTGCATTATTATCGAAAAAAAAATTCTCTTAAGAAAAACTTAAGTAACCGAAAAACAAACTACTTAAGATTTCCGGAGGCGCACTGTATTACTTTACAGTGAAAAAGAGCGATTTCCCCTTCGAATTCTTCTCAAGTGCATCGTTTCAAATGTCCACTTTATCGACTAAATAGACGTAAGATTTGTATTGTTACTGATCAGTAGTTTTGGAATTATTAGAAACAAAAGCGTCACAACTTTGTGAGAGCCAATTCATCAGCCAATCAATGGTATTATCAATTCAGAATACGTATACGTGCTATATTATAGTGCTAAATGAACATTTGATAACACGAACGATTACTAATGTTGCAAATTGATTAGATAAGATTTGTTTCGACCGTTTCGTTCCGAACTTATCGCGAAGTGTATTTATTTAGTTAAAAATTCACGCGGATTCATTTGTTTTCGGTACTTTTTTCTCTCAGGGGATTTTTCAAACAGTTGATTCATACCCTTATCGCTGATTAAAGATTCATCACTTGGCTAGTATATAAAGTCGAATGAAAACGACTAGAAATCAGTTCAGAATTGTGAATTACCAAAGCTACAACTAAAAGAATCAAAATGAATTTCAAAGTATTCTTCTTTTTTGCCGTTGTTCTATTTCTTGGCATTACATTCAATGCTACACCAGCTGAAGGTAAGATTGTTTGAGAGAAGATTGGAGTAAGTTGGTTGAAATTTATATATTTGAAAAATAGCCGTGACTTGCGCCAGCCAAGGTGGACCAGCAGCATGCCGCCCATACTGTATTTTACAGGGACACAAGAGCGGATATTGTAACTCCAAAGGGAACTGTGCTTGCACAGACTGATTCGCAGCATACACGCTCGGTCTTTTATTCTCAACTTCGGCTAACAAACATTGATGAATTTTGAAAATTAATTCTAAATTTTAATGAAGTGGAAATAAATGCACACATGTTTGATTCGAGTAAATTGAAATTGGAGTTTTTCTTTTTTTATTAGAATTTTAGATTTTTACTGTTTTCCCATTGAAAAGAGAAATATAAGCATATCAAACCATGAAATGATTTGGTCGTTGACAATCAACCATTGAGCCACATTAATCTCTCATGGACCATCATTTGCGAACGTTTGATTCAAAACTATGCATCAACTGCTCATTAGCGACTTAAGATAAGACTCAACTGCGCGTCATTAATCCATACAAAGACTTTGCTGCAATACAAAGGCTTGAAACTATCTGTTCACTCCAAAGACTTGGCTTAATGAATTCATTCACGTGCATATAAACGATCCGTATTCTTTCTCTCCGCTGTGTACCATGTTGGATTGTCATGTGACGTCACATGATATGATGTAACCCGTTCGAGGAAGACACACACATACGCTAAAAATAGCCGCATTACACCATTTATGATACAATTTACCGGTACAGCCCAGGAACAAAACCCAAAGAAATGTACATTTTAGTGCAAATTACATGTGTAGAATATGCATAGCGCGCGCATAATTGAAATATGAAAAAATAATGGCAATAGCGGCCTAGAGAGTGAAAACAAATTAAACTTTTCCAATTAGACTAAACAACAAAATAAATCCAATAAAAATGAATCGATTCGATCAAAAAGCGCGGCTAACAACAATGCTATTTCTCGCCATGCATTGAGTGCAAGCTTGTTACACACATCACAAGCCATTGGATTTTGTATTGCATTACGCTATGTTTCGATTAACTGGTGCGCATTATTCGCTTTGTTGTCTAGTACCGTCTCTCTTTTTTTTCGTTGATTTCGATGCTGGTTTTTTGTGTGTTATTTTGCACAACATCTTCTGTTATCGACTCGCCATATTTATATATATATTTCGGTTGCACGGTTCGATGTGCATGGAAATTGTGTGCAGGTTGACTATATTTCACTGTTACATTTTACTTTTGTTCATACGTATCTTGTAACACAATAATTAAAAAAAAATGTATGCTACAAGTCTTCATTGATTTTGTTCATTTAGTTGTGCTTCAGTTTTATTTTTGTGTGTGCTTCGCCATATGCTCTTTTTTTGTTTATGTAATCGGAAAGATTTCTCGGTCTACATGTGTGAAATTCTTGTGAAATTGCCGTTGATTTTGTGTGTGTGTATGCAATTTCCAATTTATTCTTCTGCTTGCATTTTACGCGCTTGCGATCCCAACTGATATCAATTTGCGTCGTTTCGTCTAAATTTGGCGCATTTGAATTGCCGCTGCGTATCTACTATTGCCGACTCTTGTTGCTGGGAAACGGTTCGATTAATTTAATGAAGCAAATCATTTTGCCGAGAGAATGAGAGCAAAAGAAAGAGTGAGTGAATGAGAAAGAGAAAAAGAAGAAAAAAAATGCAGTTGCGCGTGCGCGTTCCCCTTTCGTTTTTCAATAGCATAAATTCAGCCTAAAAGAAATGTACGAAAATGCATTCGTTTCCGTATTTTATTCAGTGTTTTTTTTTTCATATTCATTTACTCTCGCTATTTGCCTTTATTTGAATATAACTGTTTATGGTCTGGCTTTGGCTTTTGTGCGCGAAATATGTTTCGTTTTTTTTTCTTTCTTGCTAATTTAAGTAGTTTTTGATTTCTGTTGGTATCGAGTCTATCAACTGGAAATGGCGAATACTTCGTTACGAATATGCTACACTGCACCTGTGCACTGCACTCTAAATTGATTCTTGTACACCTTTTGTAAAACTATTCATGCCATATCATTTACACCATAAATAATGCCATAGAAAACTGAATTTGAATCGAAAATGCGAGCTTATCGCACAGAGATTCCACCGAGTCTCGGAACAATGGGAGAAAAGTGAAAAAAAATTTGCGAGTGATAAATCAAAGGCTGTCACCTCAACTATGGTTTGTTGAAGTAGTGAAATAAATATGCACTTCATTATTATCATTATTACGGGCGGCGGTGCAATTCAATAAACAAAGTCAAAGAGCCCTTCTCTCTTCATCTCTATCTGCATCTCTTTCTCCAGAAGTTCCCGTTTTTGACGTTCATTCACAAGGCAATGATTTAAACCATATTTTGATGGTTTTACCAACCCAAGCCATATACAAGAAATTATAATTCAAGCCATCGTTAAAGTCGAATACATCATCAGCTTGTATAATCCAGCCAATTCATAATACGCCATACCCACTTGCTCATTGTCTATCATATTTTGCTGTCTTAACAACCCGTACGTATCTGGTGCTTCTAATCTTTTCCACGCGCGAATGCATCAAGTGGCGACGGAACAAAAACCACAAGCAACAAATGTCTGTGTACCACGTGGAAATATGTACATTTCTAGTGGTTGAACAAATTGCAATGGCTCTTTACTACTCGTCTTCATCGTCGCGATCAAATCCATGTGATTACTTAATTTGCATTAAATTATGCAAACACTTTTGTTCAAATAAAACGCCAAATGGAATATGTGGCTCGAAGAAGAGAAGCAAATGTGTGTCTGTTCGCCGCAAAAACACATCGGAATTTTTTTTTTTTTTGATGTGAACAACTGTCGTCGCTGTGAATTGATTCGACTGTCTTAGATATGAATTGTGTTTCGATCTTTAATGAAGAATCGAAGCATAGCCCATTAAGATTCAGTGTGTGTAAATTAGCGTCATTTACAATGTCTATTGTTGGTTGGTTGGTCGGTCGTTCTCTATACGTTTCTCCTTGTACTCGAATAATGATGAATAGTCTTCCGACATTTGTCATAGCCTCACTGCCACAGCTGAATGCTATTGACTGAAGTCAAATCGTTAATCACGAGTGGAAACAACGTGAACGTCATCAAAGAACTCGCGTGCTACAGCTTAACCAGCCGAACAAATTCACTTTTTTACCTCAAGGATTCAATTAGCTTTCGCATTAAAAACGGTTTTTTTCGGGTGCTACAATATAGTAAATCGAATTATTTAATACGCTAAAACACTAAATCGCTTAAATGGGCGAAAAGGCGTCAGACAAATTTTTAGAAATATTTGGGAAAAAAATCTGGAAAATTGGCCAATTGTCTTCGATCGATTCGACAATTGATTGGCGCTTTGAAAGAAAACAAAAATCAACCGATTATTTCTGACTGAATAATTCAATTCTACTGTGGAATGAAAAATTGCGCACTTTACCCTGAATTTAGCTTAGAGCACACCGATTCAAAACAATAGCAGTGACAACCAATTTTTTCTCTTTTTTTTTGGCTGACACCAAAAAAACAAACGATCGAGCATATAATTTATAATTAGATTGAGTCACACAACACAATTGTATTGGCGTCGTGCGGCCGTCGTCTGATTTCATCTATCGCGAAAGAAATAATCGCTTTTATTGCGATCCTTATGTATTGAGACAGTGCGGGTTTTTTGTTTTGGCTGGGGACATGGAGAAACAATTGAATTAAATTGCTCGCCATCAATCCAGTGTGATTCGACGGTCGATCGGTTGGTCGATTCGTCTCAAGCGATGATGGCAACGATCGAATGTGATTCGATCGTGCACTGCGCTCGCACACCCAGAGCACATATTAACACCAATATTAAACCTTGAAATAGATTTCAATTTAATTCTTCTTTTCATTTTGGCCGGTTTTGTTTTTGTCTTCATTCTGCGATCGTAATGTTTGTTTACGTTGAACATGTGTCGCTTCGACATTTATACACGAAATCAATCTGTATTTTGCACCGCGCCGAAGACATAAAACACACGTTAATAAAAAGCAGAAAAACGATCAAAAAATCAATTTGGATTTAAATTGACGTTTATCGGATTGGTAAAAACGTCGCCAACCATACGCAAGAGTCCACAATAACCGAGCAACACCAATTTTTTTTTTGTCAACACGACTTCGAGTTTATGCCAAACAATTAACGGTAATGCTGCAGTTTTCAGTGAGTTTTTGATTGTCTCCAGCCTGTCTTTGGCGTTTTTGTGTGTTCGCGTTTCTTCTCTCGCTGCTCGCGATGTTACCGATTGTTTTTCGATCGCATTCAGTCGAATGGAATGTCGAAGAGAACGCAATGCGCAGCAAAAAGTAAACAGACAACGACTACAACGACGACGACGCAAGAGAAGAAAAAAATGCTATTCAATAAAATGTACAAGGAGTAAAATATAGATTGCTTTATTATGAGTAACGAACACATCGTTTACAGCGGATAATTTGCATTGATAGTTTATTTCATTGCGCAATGGAGCAATCAGTTCAAGCATACACGCGTGTATGCAGTGTACAACGAGCGCTGAGTGAAGGGTATTCTCTCTTTGTGAATGCAAAAAAAACATGTATGGATTTATACCGTTTTTCGTTGGTTTTGTTTGTTTGGTTTTTTTGTTTTCAATTTAACTCTACGATATTAATCTTCGATGTGAATCGTTTGTTTGTTTTTTTTTTTTCAAATTGGCTGAAATTGAGAGCCAACATGAAATTGAAACGCATTTTTGTTTTATTCCGCCAATTTCAAATTCTAGAATTATATCATCAGCTGTTATAAATTATACCAGCAAACACATGTTATAGCACATGTGACATAACTAACAGCAGTCAGAACTGTCAAAGCGAAAGAAGAAGAAGAAGAAGAAGAAGAAGTGGTAAGAGGTTACAAAAGCACGAGTACCGACTGAAACATTCTGATTGCATTTCGACTCAATTAAGTGGATTTTTCAAGAAAATGTTCCGTACAATCATAACACAATTTAGAAAGCCGTTGTCGTCATTCACATCGGATTTTTGCACCAAAGCACCCTTTCGTCGTCGAGGTAATTTCAATAATTTCTGTTACATTGAACAAAACAAAAGTGTGTTTCATGTGATTACGAACGTTTGATTTGTGTGTTTTACTTTTATCGTTTCAAATATAAATGATCCTGTCTAGTTTCCATTGTTTTTCAAATTCAATGTTCACACATTTATTTAGACAAAAGGCTTTTTTTTTATGGTTATTCAATTCGTTTTGAAACACAATCTCAATCGTATTGCATATTTATCGATTGGATAGTTTTGGTCACCCTGATTTTGAGGTTATGTATCAAATTCGTAATGAACGAGCAAAAAACTTTCATTTATCCACAGAAATCAACGATGTTAAAATTGTCGGAACATTGGTGAACGATTCTTATGTACTTAAATCGGGTACCAAAGCACTAACAGTTAAAACAAAGGAATCACCAATGAGATAGTGAGTATCTTTCTTCTTGAATTGATTCGATTCGTTGAAAAAAAATTGTCTCAAACTCCTCTTCAAAAGTACAATTCTTCACCAATTAATGGATTTCTGCCTGTTTCTTTCAGTTCAAATCACAATATTCACATCAACACCAATGCAGAGTTTTCAGTCGGTCAACGCATTTATGTCATTGGCAAATTGAGATCGACCAATTTAGACACAGCCGATGGTAAACGATTGACCGTGTCAGTTGTTAAAGCACTTCAATTATACGTGCTAGAAAACGAAAGTGGATCAGCCCATTCAGCGATTGAAGGCGATAAAAACAATGTGGAAATTCTTGCAAATATTGGATCTGATGTTGTGGTCAAAGACAACCATGCTATATTCACCGTTGTGACCAATTTCACTAAAACGTAATTATCACTCTTTTAAGTAGTTTTTTGTGTGTCAAAATCAATCTTAATACCATTCGATTGTGTTATATCTTAATCAAAAAAGTCGACTCTAAATAAATTCCTTTCATTTCTCAATAGAGCTGAAGACGGTGAAGAATCATCTGGAGCGCATTACCATCGAGTGTTTGCGTATGACGATCTTCTGGGATACGTGAAGGCAAATTTGAAGAAAGGAGATCGAATCCTGTTGAACGGTCGCATCGGCCACATGACAAACACCCAACCAGATGGCAAGAAATTTTATTCCGGTTTTATTGTTGCTGAAAATATTTTCAGAGTTGCACGACGAACAAAAGATGACGCTGAATCAAATGAAAGTGCCAAAGTGGAGGCAGAAAATTAAGCGGTAATCGATAAAAGAAATCCAAAATGTTTTAAAATAAAATAGAGACGAAATAAAGCAAAAAAAGAGAAGAGAAAAACAGACAGAAAAACTAGATTGGGTTTAATCAAATGTAAGCGAAAACGATGTTCTTATTTCATCTGAATGGTTTGATGTTCATCGAAATTGACGTCTGTGTGTAATGTATGGTTTGGTATTGAGAACGAGCTTCATTACTTTCAACGACGTTCACGACAAAATTGGCAAAGAAAGACACACAAACACATACATACGCGCGCGGCGCTTGGCTTTTGCGCAATTGAAATCGATTTTATTTTGCAAAATGCAAATTATTTCGATTATTCCGCCATTTTTCCGACTGTAAAGCCAGAAGAAAAACGATTGCCGTTTGTGTCTGTGCTGGTTGTGGTGTGCGCACTGCACGAATGCCACGTAATCGTGAGAGATCTGGAAAATCGCTGTTGCATCGAGCATCAACGGTTGTTATTAACCACAGTTGTTGCTGATCTTCTTGTTGTTGTTGCCGAGTCGTTAATATCAGTTTTATTTTTTGCTTGTTTTCACTATTTTTATATTTTTTTTTGCGAGGCATACGATTACATCATATTATCACACTGCTTGGTTGGGTTGCTCGTCGTTTCCGTCAGTCAGCCGAAATGCAATTTGATGCAATCCACATCACCAAAACATCACCAAGCGCCGTGACTTTTCCAAACGAATTAACCACTCTTCGCTCTTACTCTTTCCTAATCTCTTCTTTTTCCCTGCGTCACTCTCTCTCTCTCTCTCTCTCTCACGCTCTTTCTCACACACACTCGAAGACAGTCGACTGGAATGTAAAACAAGAGCGCGGCAGCTAAACGAGTACAAACACTTTTTTAATTGCAATCATCGAAATGGTTTTGCTCTTGGCAACTTCTTTTTATGAAGCAGATGAAAAACAATCCGGTGCACGAGAAGCAATCAATGCAAACCAGAGTATAACAATTTTTAGTGTTACTTCTTATTGTCGCTCTATGGCTTGAGCTTTAAAAACAAAACAAATGACTTGTGACTTTTTGCACTGAAGGAGACAGCTGAAAAAAACAACAACAACAACAAACGACGAAATATAAATGGTTTTTATGTTTTCGTTGCTCCAAACAGAGATATAAAAATCATGTCGCATGAACATACATATTGTGCAATAGTTGGCTATGCACACAAAAATAAACACAAATAACCGAGCAAGTGAGAGAGAGAGAGAGAGAGAGAGAGAGAAGAATAATAGATGAAACAAAAGCAACAGCGACGTGAACATCAACATCGTTGAGTGTTGTGCCCCAGTCTATCTATTGTTGTGTTCGTCTGCATAACGGAATCATAGATAAATGGATCATGGTTTGCACGAAAATAAAACAAAGTCAGCAGACTCACTGCGATGTGCGCTGTACAAACACACCGAAGAGAAGCAATCGCGCGTTACAGAACAAACTGTAATGGAATCGCGAGCTAAAGCATAATCAGCCCCATAATAATATTTCAATGTGCTCTCTAGCTCGCGTTAGCGAAGACAGCAACATACACAACCTTTGGAGTGGTAATCTCTTTTTTTCGGTCGACCTCTGATTTATCGTTTGTTTGCATTGAGCGCGTATTTTATACAGTAGCGCTGGATATTTAGAGCGAGAGGAAAAACAACAGGCTGTGCAACATAGTATGATCTTCTTATTGTTTTTGTTGCTGTTGTGGCCACTGCGCGATTTGCCATTTCATGTGTGTGTGTGTGTTGACTTTTATTGCGGCAACAAATGTACAAATGCTCATTTTTCGCCAATGCTGGCGATTGTGGCATAATTACAAGCAAGGCGCGTGTATTTTTGATTTGGAATTGAAAGAGTCATTCATGGAACATTAAATGCTATTTTTTATTGCCGAACATTTTCATCCGGCAAATTCAATTTGGAAGCGCCAATTCCGAATATATTCACAATGCACAGGCACACACCACTAATTGCTTGTCTAATTATGTGAGGTTGTGCGGATGATATTTGAGTAGTTTGGAACGCAAATGTAATACAGAAAAGTTGCGTGGAAAAATTTCAAATGAAAAGAGCTAGCTAGAGTTTACTATATGGCTATCCCATTTCCGCTCATTGATCATCGACATTTTTCCGCGCAACTTTTCTGTATTATATTTTCGATTCAAACTACTCATTTGATCACTTTGGCCACAAGATATATATATGTCCATTATATCGGTAAGTGGAACGATTAGATCTGCGTCAAAGTCAGAAATCGATCCTTTTCTTGAAGAATTCTCTTGCAGTATAATGATCCAACAAATGTTATCTAAGTAGAACGTTATCCATTCAAAAGCTGAAATGGTTGTGTCTAGTCCATGTCTGTAGACAAAAGTGTCCTCTTCTCACATTATAAGGTATGTAACTTCTGCACTTGTTACTCTTCTTCTTTTTTAGTTGCAATAATTTGGTTTTTGGTGACATCCGACCCTTATAAAATTGTATTATATTGTACTCCCCAATCATACTCATTGATGTTGATGATATGGATTGTTCGAAATCACTAACCTACCCGATGATGGTGTAGTCTAAGCTTATGTGTCTTTCAATTACATTGAATTAGTTCTATGAACTTTAAGTTCAACGTCTATTCGGTTTGTTCAACAACACATCTACTATTATGGCATCTCATTCCATGAATCATCCAATTCTGTATTCAGTGAACTAAATTTTAAGCGCCACCTCACAATATGGACACAATGTTGCTTATCTAATTTATGTCTGCAATATATCTTGTGATGATACTCGATCAATTGCTCCAAATCTATAATTCATAGTTATATTAGATATTTTGCGTTTAAAAAAAGCAATTTGTATCTATTTAACGAGCTAATAAGAGAGGAGACCCACTAGAGAGGAGAAAAACAACCACACGCAAAGTTGGTGAAACAGCGAAATACAAAGTAAATATCATCGGTTGTTTTTTGTGCAATCAGTTACATTGAAAAGCGACAGTTGACAATTTCACAATTTTTTCGAAGAATAAAAGCAGATCAAAGCACTGGGGCTGGTTATGCAATGAATTAATTTGTTTGAATTACGCATGTGTATTGTTGTAGTGTGTGCAAGTCAGCAGGACAATCACCATTCGATTCGTATCTAATTCGTAATGTCGAGTGTGCGAACGAGCTAGCGAGCTAGTGAGTGAGTGAGTGAAGCAATGCACACCGTGAAATATATCGATATATGCAACGGAAATCGAACATACCGTGTACAGTGCAGACGGATTACAATTCCATTATTTATCGTTTGCTCGCTACTTATAACCAATAACTAGGAAAAATCAGGAAACAAATGATACACTCAATTAAAATTATGCACTTTACACACCGTCGAACCATACACGAAACTGAAGAGAGAAACCAAAAAAACGAACACGAAATTGAAAAACCAACCAAACATCGATCGTAAAGCTCGGCTGCACATTACCAATCAATGTATGTAGGTAAGTGTCTCCGATGGATGAAAACAGAAAAACAAAATAGTCGTTAGCAGCAGCAAAAAAAAAATTTATTAGTTCTGCCGAGAGTTTTGATGAATGATCGGAATAAGCAATTCATTCAGTCACTCGAATCGGAATTGGTGCCATATAGTTGGGCTTTTGAGTGTATTTATGAGCCAGGCGGTTGCCCATTGCAATATTTTTTGCAATGAATGCACAGGCGAAAGTGATTCGCCGCATCTCGCTGAGCTTGGCTGGGCTCACATCGATAAGTCGGTCGGTTGGTCGGTCGATCGAACGAAATGCCTAGATTATATTTGGTTTTTATTTGGGATTGCGTTGAGATTTTAAGACCTCGAAGCAATCAAATCAAGACGCCCAATTTACCGTTGTAATCATTTCATGTGTGTGCACTGTGCATGTGCACCCATGAGGCTTGTTATCACACACATCTCTCTGCCGCATACTTATTCCATCATAATAATCATGTCAGCTGAGCGAGTGAATGTATTATCAAATATCGGCCGATGCTTTTCGAGGACTGTTGCTCTCTTGCTCTCAACCAGAAGAAAAGAAACGCATATAATTGGATCACAGTGAAAATGAAAAACCAGCATTGAACAATAAACCACTTTCGGTTTCATTTCGAAGCGCACTCACATACACACACAAGCACAAGCACATGTGTGATCACTCCGTTTACGATGTCCGCGCTCACGCTCACGCGCAAGCACATCGCAATGAAAGAAGAAGAAGAAGAAGAAGTAAAAAAAACGACCATAGATTGCATTAACATATAATAATGAAGAGAGACGGCGTTGCTACCGCGCTCAGCGGCTCTCTGCCACTGTGATTGCATTGTGTGCGCGCGCTCGTGTATTTTGGCTCGCGCGTATAGAAGGGGAAAGCCGACATTGGTATATAAAGTTGGTGTGGAACCGTTTTCAAATTAGTACCGATTTTTGGTCGCTCGTTTGTTTTTCTAATTAAACAATAACAACAACAAAAAATCTAGTGAAAAATCGAAAATGCGATTGGTGAGGCATCGTTGTTACATATAATTTATTTGTTTGGATCAATATTCTGGCCAATTCGTGGATTATATTTTTCAAATTTTTTCGTTGCTAAGTTGAACACAATTTTTCCGATATATTTTTGGTGTGCTGTGCCATGGATTTTCCACTGTGAACCGAATCGAAAATGAAAAATACAGAAAATAGAGAAGAAAAAAACAACCAACTCACAAAACGGTGTATCTATCAGTGAATTTATGTTCTTTTTTTTTTTTGAAAAATGCGGATACGAAAAATTGAGTTTTTTTTTCCTTCGCATTTCTTTCTCTTCATCGTTTTGAACTTATGGATATGTTGTGCACTTTATGCAATTTGTTTGCATGCATGGTGAAATGGTTTCGTTTTTTTTTTGTATTTGCTTAACAATTTTCTTTTTGTTTCGCGCTTTCTCGTTGATTGAACATACAACACATAACAATGTGGAAGTTATGTGTGGAACAGCCATCGGAAAAAAAAAACAGTAAAACATCGAGAAATTATTTATTTTTTTTCGACTTCTTCTTCTTCTTCGGCCTGCTTGCTGATGGAATGCCGCGTTAATCGAATCAAATCGGAAAACAATATATTTCCACATGATTTATTTTCTATCGGTGTGTTCAGTAACATGCGCTGCCGTCGATCATTTCTATGTTCATTTAATAAAACGTGTTATTTTCATTAACATCGATCGCAAAACGTTTGAAACTACGAAAAATGCAGCTCGTTAATTAAGAGCATTTAATGACCGCGGATAAAATTTGCATGTGTTTGATTATAGGCGCTGATTTTCGAATTATATAATGAAATAATTGTGTGCGACAAAAATTTGGAATATTTCTACGAATTCGTTGTGTGATGTGCGATGAAGATTTTAATAAGGAAGAAGGAAGTTTTTCTTCTCGTTTATTTTCCATGGGATTTCCATTTATCATTCGAGCTAATTTTTCAACAAAATTTTCCAAATTTAGTTGGTTATCCCCTGTTGCTTGGCTGTGTTAGTGGCGTTGACATCAGCAGAAGCGGAAACGAAGCCAGCTGCTGCTGTAGCCGCCAATAATGAGGCAGAGAAGAAGCACGATGCAAATGCTGACGCCGCCGATAATGGTGAAACGGCCAAGAATAAACGCGGTTTGCATGCATCGCTAGGAGATTTCGCATCTTTTGGTGGACACGAAAGCTACGCTCATGCCGATTTCGGTCATGGTGGTCACGATTTCGGTGGTCATTATGACTTCGGACACGGGCACGGACACGGTGGTTTCGGTGGATTTGAAGGACACGATTTCGGTGCCAGTCATCATCACGAACACGTCAAACATATTACCATTGAAAAGAAATATCCAGTTCCATACACTATCACCAAACACGTTCCGGTCACAATCGAGAAGAAAGTCCCATATGAAGTCAAAGTACCCATCCCACAACCGTATATCGTCGAAAAGGTAAGTGAAAAGAATTCTCTACTTTTCTTCGCATAAAAAATTTTGCAATTCCATTAATCGGCGCATTTATTTCTATTTGCCAAATCATTTATTAAATTGAAACAATGACTGCATCATTTATTACATGTGTAGAGGTTATATAAAAATCGTTTGTATTCTTGCAGAAAGTGCCGTACATTGTGAAAGAGTACCAGAAATACCCAGTCCATGTTCCACAACCGTATGAGGTAAATTGATATTATGTCATCGTATCGGTTTCCATTCGAAATCACCATTTTTTTTCTCCCATGAGTAACATACCCCGATCGCAATTGAAGAGCCATTGAAATATTTATTTATCGCCAATTTTTCACAGGTCATCAAGAAGGTGCCAGTTCATGTTAAGGTACGTTTCAAGTTAATCACCGATCAATTGATGATATTTAAACGATCATTTTCAATAAAATTGCATTTTAAACGGTTTTTGACGCGATTGAACAACAGTGATGAAATTCGAACTGATCGTAAATCTTAAGCTGAGCCTAAAACATTTTGCCTATATATTGTGATTGTTTCATTTCAGGTGCCAGTCGATAAGCCTTATCCAGTGAAAGTGCATGTGCCTCAACCATATACTGTTGAAAAGAAGGTTCCTGTCCACATTCATGTTCCAATTCCAACCCCAGTCGTTCACGAAACCGTAAGTTTCGCTTTATCCGTTTAAAAAAATCTCTAAATCGATGTCATGGAACTTTGTAAAATAAAGCGTAAATCATGAATTTGATGGTCAAAGATAAGAAGGTTCAAGTGGCTAAAAATAAATGTGATTATTTTTACAGAGAATCCCAGTAAAAGTTCCAGTCCACTATGACGTCCCACGACCATATGAAGTTATCAAGAAGGTATGAAACAGTTTTTTCTATTTTTTTTTTCATTTGAATCAACAGATTCTCCTAAATTTTCAACAAAAATGTGAAGAAAAAAAACATTAAAATAATGTTATTGTTTACATCTTTTCAGGTTCCATACACAGTTAAAGTGAGTAGTACAACATACTAAATGGACGAACATATGTTTGACGAAAATGTGAGAATAATTTTTAAAAAACCACCAATATTGATACTGTTTGTTATTTCTTTCAGGTGCCAGTCGACAAACCTTACCCAGGTATTTTTCAATTCATTCAAAAAAATTCATTCATTTTCAATTCATCCATTCATAGGTATTCGAAACTATTATGCTGTTATACTGTCATATGAAAAATGACAACAGTTTTGCATTTCCATTCATGGAGATTAGTTAAATCGCTCGTATTCAATTCATTAACTAATCCTTGACTTTATTTTGGAACACGTTCCACATATACATTGTTAAAAAATGTACAAAAACGTAATCTATTGAGTTTTATGGCTCGAAATGTTGAAAATCCTCCAATCAAGAACACTATTTCTATTTGCTCCTCTAACAATCTATCACTTTTCCTTTCATTTTACTTTAATTTCGATATGAAAAAAATCATCTTCATTTCCGTTGAATTTCTGACTCATGTGTGAGTCAAAGTAAAGTTTGACACTATTTCATAACATTTAAATTTTACAAAATCTTCTCAAAGTTCCCGTTCCAAAGCCATACGAGGTAATTCACGAGAAACCATATCCAGTTTACGTTGAAAAGAGGGTAAGATTGCATTTGACTCTGCCATAATTTGTGTGTTGGTGATGCAAAATTCACTTTCGATTATAATTATAACCGATCATCTTGCTGTCTCTCCGTAGGTCCCAGTCGAAGTGCCCGTCTCTGTTCCAAAACCATTCCCAGTTAAAGTGGACAAGCCTTACCCAGGTATTTTTGATCTGAGCTCATATAAGAAAATTGATCCATTTTCAATTCATTTACTAATTCTTGACGTTATTTCTGGCCAAATCTAGTGCATGTGCCTGTGCCAGTTCCAAAACCATATGAAGTGATCAAGAAAGTCCCATACACTGTAAGTATTCTATTAATTTATTAGTTAAGTCTAATTTCATACGGACGGAATTTCACTGATAAACATTTCCAAAATCGACCATCAGGTGGAAAAGCCAGTCCCATACGAAGTTAAGGTGCCAATTGATAAGCCATTCCCAGGTATTTATTTTAATTCGAATTCATTCCCGAATATTTGAAGCATAATAACTGTCTTACGAAGAAAAAATGGCAGCAAATGTTGCATTCTTCATCAAATGTCATTGTGAAATCGCTCGTATTCAATTGTTATATGTTTCCATTCGCTCAGTATACAAAGAGGTGAAGTTCCCGGTTGTCAAAGAGGTTCCCACCCCAATCAAGGAAGTTGTTCCATTCCACATCAGTGCACCACATCATCACGTCGAGGAACATCATGGTCATCACGTCGAGGAACATCATGGTCATCACTTCGAAGACCATGGTCATCACTTCGAAGAACATGGTCATCACGGATATTAGAAATTTATCGTAACGCGCATGCGTAATGAGATTGGAATATGGCGCAAAATGTAGTAGTGCTAGCAAACTGTGTCCGAATAACACTCAACAACAACAACAACTAAACTAAAACAAAAACATTAGCAACAACATAACATCATCATTATTAAATTTACTTTCTTCTGTATATTTTTTTTTTAGAAAAAGAAAAAAAATATCGATAGCTAATTTATTTTGCCTGTAAATACTTTTTTGTTAATGTGAGGTAACAAAAATGGTAGCCAGTTCATCAAAAAGATATTGAAATCGAGGGATTAGTAAATCAACTTCATGAAAATCTCAACGAACAAAAAAAAAAACAACAATTTTTTATCTATGTATAATAATGACAATGACGACGACACAAATTTCAACGATTGTGATATTTTTGAAGAAATGCATGTTCTTCTCATTTGAGTTTGTCCTCAAACCACCCAAGTCGAATGTTTCCCTCCCCGAATTATTACTGATTGCCCTTCCCATTGTAAACAACATCCAACCATTTAACGATTTCATTCATATATTTCGATGTTACAAAAATTGCGGCGATAATTTTTGAATTCAATGCAGAAAAAAAAAACAGAACAAAAGACGACACAAAAACAAACAAACAAACCATTTTAACCGAAAATTTATCATCAACCAAATTCATTACATTTTAATAACTCATTGCCCGAAATTCCTTCTTGTATTGACCATGAAAAAGCGACAAACAAAACCCCTCTCCATGAGAAAGAAAAATGAACCAACAACAAAATGTTACGATAATTACGTATCGATGAAACATGAAGTAATACTTATAAGAGAAGAAAGAAAACAAAACAAAACAACAACCGAAAAAAATATGCGAAATAACAGAATTCAGAGACGAAAAACATGTATTTAAATCTTAAATCAAATCAAATAATAAAGAGAAAAAAATAAATATATTTTGTGTATAAAAAAAGAAATTACTTTGGCTTTCAATGTTTTCTGAAATCATTTCAATGGCTTCTATTGAGATGGACAGCAGCAGCAGCAGCAGCAGCAGTAGCGATAGCAACAACTCGATCATTTTTTTCGCTTTCATTTGAACGTTGCGTTTGAATGAAAATGACAATGTATCAACGCGCGCGGGCGCTATAAGAAAGTATTAGCATATCTACAGTGCGACCGGACAAATTTGAATGACAATCAATCGAGTGACAACAGAAAGCTGGCCACTCAATGACAGTTTGAGAGCATTTGCATGTAAAAAAAAACCATTGACTCTGAATGAAATTCAGTTTGCATTTAAAAGAAGAGAAGAAAACGAAAAATGGCGCGTTGATTCCAAAAAAAACGACGTATCAATTTCCAACAGCATTTGCAATGGGTAAACAAAAGCCAAAACACTCGAGCGCGCGGGTCTAATTTTGTAGAGCATGTATGGTTACAGTCGCAACGGTTTCACTTGAACGATAAGATACGTAACAGCGGCATTTTATCATGGCAAGAATTGCGAAATTCATGTATGTGTGCACCGTTGAATATTATCATCATGCAATTTTGGCACAAACGAATCAACGACACGCACACACGCTCACAAACAAGAACTAATCACGGATGACTTCGGTAAATTTCGTTGACTGTTAGATCTAGTGTTGTTGAGAAATTGAGCGCCACATTCTCGCTCATTATTTTTGTTGGCGGGAAAACACACATTCGTTCGGCCAAACCGTGCCAACCGTAACAAAAATATGTATGTGTGTGTGTGTCTGTCTGTCTGATAAGCCATTTCGAAATGCCATTACGACCAGTGTCTACTGTACGACCGTATTGCAATCCGAAATAAAAACATTTTATGATATTTGTTTACATAAAAAAAAATATAATCCTACGCAGTCGCGAAACGCTATAATTTCATTTATGAATTGAAACAACGCAAAATTATTAGCCAACGCATATTGAATTGGGACTTTTTGCATGATGATGATCGCCGCCATGTATGTGGTGGTGGCCAATGCAGAGAGACACAAGATGAAAATCACCACAATTATTAGTTGGATGCTTTTTATTTCGTTGTTGTTATCATAGATCAGTTTATTGACTTGTTTTGTGAGTTAACAGCCATGCCATGCCGTGTGTCATTTGTATTTTCCATGGAATCGAGTTTTATGCGCACACAAGACTGATGGTTGTCATCCGCATTCAGCTCAAACTCACACTGTCATTGTGTTTCGGTGGCTCTCTCGTCCAATCCATTTGTGATTGTGATAAAACCGTTAAAAATGGCCGGTTTTCTCACACAACCACTGGCAAACACGACACGCAGTGTTATTCAGCTGCACGGCGAATGGCACGACACAAATAATATAATAAATGAGTGTCCAATAAAAATGCCTTTTGTTTGGGAAATCACTTGAAAATCTGGCCGTTTTTTTCTTCTCAATTCAAAATGCTTGTTTTTCTTTCCCATTTCCGTCTATTGGGCGCTTGTCATACATTTAAAACCAGCTCGTTGTTTTCGTACATTGTTGTGTTTGTGTTTCGAGTATACAACGTGCGACAAAAGATTCGACAATTATTAAACCACAAAGTGGTTGTTGTCAACAATCCGGTCCCCCGTTTAGCTTCTTTCTGATTATGTCATTGTTAGACAATTTAATTATGTAAACAAAAGCATACACGATTTTTTCGGACGTGAAATGCACCGAATGAAATCGTAAGTACACGGCGACGATGGTAACGATGAGTGACAATGTGTAATAATGATGGATATAACAGTAAACGCGTTCGTCAAGAATATGACACGAATGGTAACAGCGACGAAAAAATAAAACCAACCGTTGCGATTTGGTATGTACGAAATGCAGGTGAGTGACGAGACAACGAGGGCAGTGTGTGTAGTGAAAAAGAAAAACAAATGACACACAAGCCATAAGCACAGAGTAGTCGCAACTTCTTGTCATTTCCTTTCCATCTTCTATGCTCTTTCTTATCGTATAACACAATTCCGTGCACGACCCAATTGAGTCACTTGAATGCGTAATACTTTTTGAATATTTTTGTGAATGGATATGCAAAACCCAAATGCGGACATTAAATGAGGCTACTGCCGCTGTTGCTGCTGAGCAATACTAATGAATGGTCTTGTCAATGGAGGAGAATAACGCAATCAATAATCTGAACCACATTTAATGCGTCATATTCTGCTGCTTTTTTCTTCTGCCTTCTCTCAATCGTTTTTCGATAACTGATAACACAACACAGTCATAATCATAATAATTAACCACATGATGAATATATTCTGGATCATTGCGTGGCGCAATATACGTTTAACGGATTTTATTTTTATAAAGTTAAGTGCTCTTCGATATCGATAAATGATTTTATTTTTTAAAACGAAATTGTAATGAAGTTGCGCTACACATAATTTCACTGGCTGTCGGTTAATGGTTCGATTTTTGCTTTCGATTTCCATTTGATCGGCCAAACGATCGGAGTGAGTGTGCCACAAAATCTGGTTTCGATCGAGGAAATAGATTGGTTGGGCTCATTGTTAGTTGATAAAAACTTTGTGTACATATTAGAGCGAGAGTCATGGTTTTCATGGGAGTCATGATTTGATTGCACACCCAAAGCAACAGAGAATTATCTAGCCGACTGGCGAATGTGTCATATTATATTCATATATACCTAGGTGTATATATATACCTATGACTGCATTCCATTCCATCCTCTATGCCATGCTCTACAACAACTCACGTTATCATCTCGCTTCATTCCGATTTAATATTATTACATTCCGTTGGATGATGCCGGCCTCTTTTAATACACTTTTAATAGCTACAAGCAATTTTTGCACCGCAATCGCTTCGCTCGCCAAGTGAAAGTAAAACACACGGTGCAACGTGACGACGATGCATTGTCTCTGTTTCTATGTTTATATATTCCATTCCATTCCGAAACAACATGCAAGTTCTTGGCTCATTTCAGTCGGTTGGTTGGTCTGTCTTGTCGCTCTCTTTCGCTTGTTGGCATTTGTGGTATAGTTTACATTTAATCGATTTATAGACTGTGCTAACAGTTCAAATTGTTACGTTATTTGGCTCACTCTCTGAACGGCTGTCGGTGCATTCTTATCGCAAAACGATTTTACGATTTCGAAACATGGACCGCATGTAATCGATTCGACACCGTTTGTACGGAAGTATTCCGTTTCTTAAGTAATCAACTGGACGGTAATTATGTTTTTTTTCTGTTTATTTTTTGTTTTCATTTCTTTTTCTTTTAATTTTTTCTGTTTTTTCTTTCTTCTTTGCATCTTTTCCTGTCATTTAAAATTATTACAAGAACGTCGATGATCATCGATACGTCGCCAGTTAATTTATCACACATTTCTCATATTTTAAGTCAATTTTTATCGGCTTTTTCGTCATTTAAAACACATTTTTCATCACGCTATCTTCATTTACTGACTTTTCTTCATCTTCATTTTTCTTCATAAAATTCATTTTGCTCATCGCGTTTAATGTCATTCCCGTTGCGGTATTATAAATGGTGTGTCATCATGGGCGACATAGGCCACCGAGTGTGCGACAATAAATCAACCGAATTCGCACACTCGCATGTCGAAATCGGTTAATTGAAAAGTCTCGTTGAATTTTCATAATCAAGATGCAACCTATAATCATTTTAGAGTAGTCGTGATTCGTAATGAAAAGTGAAAGAAACCAGCAAACATGACCCAATAAAAATGTAGACTAATTAGATGTTTCTGTTTTATTCATAATAACCGATGATTTTGTCTGTTCTAAAATTACACGTTTTTTTTTCTTCTTTCGTTCTGCATAAAAACTTATATCATTAATGTAAACTTGAGTCGAAAAATTACGCCGCAATGTAGGCAATTGTCGAAAAGAAACTAAAACTTATTGCTCGTGGCTTAAGTAGGAAATGCTTTAAAAGTACAATTTCTAGCAGTTAACTCGTTGCTAGCAGCATTAAGCTCAACTGGGTAAAATCTCTCTTGGTTTTTACGTTGGGATCGGTGAAACAGTATTTGATGGTTTGTCGGTGAAAACCCAATCCATCGGCGATTCGATGATGCTTCGTTGATAGCCACCATGACCTGGTTCTCCGTAAACAATGTGGTCTCCTCCGCCGCCTCCTCCGTAGCCGCCCCCTCCGTAATTTCCGCCACCAGACATGCCGCCATAATTGTGTTTCTTCAATGCATTCTGTGTGTCACAGCGTCAACATGCACAACAAAAGAACAATAAATGGGTTAGAAAATTTATTGAATGAAATGCATTATAAAATAAGAAAAATTTAGAGAAAAAAAAGTCCTACGACAATGGAAAACAACAGTGAAATTTTGGAAAACAACAGCGCAGCACCAGCCAAAAATGCGATCTTCCCAAGGAATAGTTGAGCAACCATTGCAATCACTGTCATCATTCCCATCATTCCATGCTTAAACTTCTTCTTTCGACCCTCTGAAATAAATGGATTCATCATTTTTTTTTTGGATTTATCCCAGAAAGCATAACAAATTTCAAATAACTAAAAATGAATTTTGAAAATCACTTTTGAAATGCTTTTTTTTACCCGGGCCAAAACCAATGCCGCTACCACCAAATTTTGTCAAATCGAAGTCAAAGCCGGATTTGACTCTACCTTCGGCCGCAAGCAATTCATTTTGTGTTGGTACCGAAAATTGAATCGATCGCGATGCAATCAAATCACTTAATTTACTTAAAACACTTTCGAACATCGTTTGATCGTGGCGCGCTTCAATTTCGCTTGGTTTCCAATCCGCATTCTTTTTCAGTGAAATAAATTCATTGAATTGCCATGTGTTATTACTGGCAATGAAACAGTCGATATTGTTCATGGCATGTTCGAGTCCGCATGCAACTAATTCGTTCGGTCGCTGTCGAAAACACTGGCCAATTGTCTTCAGGCAACCGGTTTGATTGTGATTTGACGACGACGACGACGTCGATGACGATGATGTCGATGATGACAACGGCAATTCACTATCCACCTCACTTGAAATCGAAAATTGTGTCGATTGTTCTATGAACACAAACATTAAAAATATTCCACTTTTGAATACGGTCATTTTTTCCATTTTTATGCGTGCCATTTCTCTCTATTTCGGATTCTTAATTCACCGGTTGGTTATTTTATAGTCTGGTTTTATTGTCACTGATTGCTAGTTTTTCTTTTTATTCTTCTTTTCTTTTTTGCTAAATAGTGATTTTTCTTCTTTCTATTTCACAAACTGCAGTGTGATTCGTGGAATGCAGATTTTATGTTTTCTCAAAACACAGTACAGTGTAAGCCATCACAGTTCTGATACAGTCTCCAACGAAACATATTCACGACAGAAAACTTTATCAATCACATTTATGAAGAAGAAGCACTTACTGATCAGAAAAAATTTATAACTGGTAAATCAGAATTGACACAAAGACATTCCGCGGCAAATTTTCCAGTCGAACTAAAATTGCCCGCGCATCTTCATTTCCATTTATATTCAAAAAATTTAATTACTCTATCGAAAGTTTCGAGTCCTATCAAGAAGTTTCGATCTTAAATGATGTGATCCATGGAAAATGAGTTGGGCCAAATAAGCATATGCGACACTCTAATTTTTGCCCAAAATGAGCATTTTCATTCTCGATGTCATTTTCAATTGACACATTTTTCCGATTTGATGAATTCTCGTACTATATGTGACGCGACGCATGAAAATCATCATCGCATCAAATTTAATTTTAATTGCTCATGAAAAATGGAAAATTTTTAAATGCAGAACATACTCTGTTCAATTACACACCATCGTTTTAGAGATGTGTCTTTGGAAATCAAAGAAAGAAATAAGTCGTTGAAACGAGGGAAATGTCGTTTTCGAAGCTCAAAGAATAGCTTTCGGCAAATGAGGCCCGTTTTAAGAAACGACCGGCATTCGATCGATATCGGTGCTGTGCAATGAGAACGTAGTGAATTTCAAGCCGAATGACCATATCAGAAAACGGTCGATCGTTAAATAGCCCTAATTGCTGTCCAAACAACATCAATGAGATACCGTTTAAAACACTGCTTTTTTCTTCTTAAAAACGCTGTTTTTCAGCAGCCCAATTCGCTCAATCTCCTATTCAAAGCCATTTGCTCGTGTGTGCATTTCGCCGATTAACGCAAAATACAGCTATACGAATCGTATGCTTTGCGAGTGAATCTGTTTTGGTGCAAAACAAAATCGAATCATTACAAGAGGGAAATCGCATATAATTGAAACAGTTTTTTTTTATTCTCTCGTCGTTGTTGTGTGTTGTGTGGCGCAAAAACCAGGGTAAGAAATTCGAAATGAGGCTTTTGCTTTGCCAGAAAAATCTCTAACGAACTGTATAAACACAGACAACACTAACCGAGTGAATTGAGTGTGTGTATCGCGTGTAGTGCGCGGTTTATTTTTCTTCATTTATCTGCTCTTTTTTTTCGTTTAATTCAGCGTCTGATTGTTTCTTGTTCCGGATGGTGCCGAATCGAGACGAGAGCACGCGAGCACACACACACACACTCTCTCTCTCGCTCACTCTACAAAAGAACAAAATGGCAACAGGAAAAAGTAGAATTTGCACCAAGACAAAAAAACGATTATACGCTGCTCACATTACACGTACAGCAGCCCATACATATATTATCCGGTGTTTTAGTTTGTCGCTGACTCTAGCACAATGGAGCGGTTGGAGCTGCTCGTTGCAACCGAACGAAACCAACAAGATAAGAAAAATATTACATCACGCTCTATTTGCTTTATATTACATCGAGTTTTTTTTGTTGGTATAAATAATTAGTTTTTATTGGCCATGAAATGAATGAGTATGTAGAATAGTGAAACAAAAAGCCCGAACAACATGCGGATGCGGAATTTAGTTGGTGTTCTCTGCTTTGCCATGCATATACGAACAGATACCAAAAAAACCGAGCAGCAACCAGATGGAAACGCTTTCAATCACCAACCAGCGAGCCGATAGTAAGGCACACTACCACCACATACACACGATAAATCGATCGGTACATGATGATAATCATAGAGTATTGCTAGAATTTCTCTCAATTGAACGTATGATGAAGATGACTTAAGCAAACGATAAGATTGGAGCACCCATGATCTCTGTCTACCGAACAGCAGCAGCATCGAAATGAGCCAATTACATATTTGGAATTTGTCTGTCTCCAACTCTCTTTATATGGTTGACTTTTTCACCTCACCTGTCGCATCAACGTTCGTTTTTGTTTGACAATGACGGTGTATACACACACGGCGTATTCGGATGATGTTTACTTGTAGCCGGTCGATGGTTTTTCCATGCAGTTGTAACATTTACCTCTTAAGACAGGCAAATATTTACAGTTAACATTTTACTTTCGCTGAGAAATCTCCGCGATTTCAACGCGCAATCCCATTGCGATGGCACATTTATATGAGACGAAGAAAGAATAGAAAAAAAAAAACGATAGCAAAAGTACGAAGTGCGTCGATAATAATGATTTGGTTTGTTCAGAATGTGTGTCAACTGTCGAAGTGTCATCCGAGATGTTGGCTTCTTGAAAATATCGAAAATCTATTCACGCGAAGCACGGCAAGCTGGCTATGTTGCTGTGTTTTTACGCTCAATCGTGTACTCTGATTTTTATTAGCTGGTTAAAAGTTTTATTGGTCGTTTTAGAGGTTTTTAGCACCATTTCTTCGTGTTAATCGATTTTTGACACAAACCATTTTCCCCTTTCAACCAAATGGTTTGAATTACCTTTTTGGTCATTTGCCTCTGTGTTTTGGCTTTTTATTATTGTGCGTTTCTCTACCTTTGCCTATCTGTATCTCGTGAGCGCACATTGTCAATCTAATACCTTAACCCTATTGAATCAAATGCGCATTGCGCACACGCTCGCGACATGTATAATGCAAAAGTGAAACGCTTACCATTTGGGTTTTATTCACGAAAAGTGAAGAAAAGCCTGAATTCGGACTCGATTTCATTGCGATCATGGCTTTTCTCTCTCTCTCTCTCCGCGTGTGTGTGTGTGTCTGTGTGTGTGTGTGTGTGTGTGATGAGGTCTTTTCATCTAATGCAATATAACAATAAACAAATTTCATTCAATTCTTCCGTCTAGTTAATCCACAGCGTTCGCTTTTTTTCCTCTTGCTCACTTTACAGTTTTTATTTTGATGCCGCCACCATTACCAAACGATTCTCATAATAATAAATGAGGAAAAAGTAGATCGAAATTGCGCGCTGTGAAAAATTGATCGCAATGTCTTTAGTTAATTTTGTTTGATTTTCTGGATCTGGCTTGCGTCGTTTTTCTTCTCCTCTTCACTCTGCGCTGTACCTGATTCTGTTGTGTTACACATTTTTCTCTCTGACACCATGAATTGGCATTAATCATATTTTCTTCTCTCCGCATACAAGAAACCCAGCAACGGCAGCATTCTCTTGTTCTCTTTACATTTCAATTTGATGTGTTTCATCTGAAATGATCATAAAGTGAAACTTGGGAAACGCCTCGAAACAAAGCGGTAATTTGTTCATTTTTGCTGTAATTCTGAGCATTGGATTCTTTGACTACGTGAGTCAAAATTACTCTTCAAGCTCGTTGACTGTGAGTAGTCAAAATTGGAAAATTTATTATAACCACAGTGAATCGACTCAATAGATGAAGAAACACGATAACTTCAACTATGAACTATGTTAAATTAACGTTGCACATAATAAAGGCGGATTCCATATGCCATGCACGACCATAAATCTAATTAAAAATTCGACAATGAACAAAAATACCGCAGCATTTTCGGTGCATATTCCTTGCCACGCAGAGAGAGAGAGAGAGAGAGATCTAAGTCACACGATGCGCTTTTGTTTGGCTCGCAAGGGAAATGCATTCTTTCGTTGATTTATTATGCGATGCGTCGAGATGTTCTTGTGGCTTGATTTCTTGCTGCTTCATGTCTTGCTGCATTGGAAAAGATAAGAATAGAAAATTCTTCGCAAAATTCACCTGAGAAACAGAAAAGAGATAGAAAAACGAACAGAGGCATCCAGAAATCGATGAAAAGTCAAACGATGTCTTCAGCAACAACGAGAATAGACTTCGAAAGGAGGAAACAGAGAGGGTAAAGAAATGAGTCAAGAGTGCATGCTTTTGTTGTCTCAAATTACGTATTCGTAATATTTATTTATTTATTTTATTCATAAACTTCTCAAGCTCGCTGTCTGCTGTTACAATATATACTTGGTTGTTGTTTTAGTTTTGTTTTTGTTTTTTTTTCTCCTTTAGTTCTTTGGATTTTAACTGCTACGGTTTTTCTTTCTATTTTTTACGGAATGTATGCCATTCGGTTTCTTTCACACACAACACAAAAAAAAATTAAATTAATGATAATAAATTTTGTAATGTTCAATAAAAAAAAGGTACAACAAAATAAACGGAAAATAAATAGGTATTCGGGGTACAATACATAAATAAATAAATACTTATTGGATAAATTCTCTTACTTACATCAAACGCAAAAATATTGATATATTTGGAAAAAAAAACAGAAGAAAATATTATTTAATCATCTTTTTTAAATATTTTTTTTTGGTCAGCCCGTTCGTCTACAACAACAACAATATTTGATACAATTTTTTTAAGGGGTTTTTGTTGGGTGGTGTTTAATCCTCGAATTCTAAATGAAACGACTCTGGAGAGAGCCCTTTCGACAAATCATCGGTTTTAGATGTTACAAATTGTCTGTATTCGTTTTTCCGTGTGTTTATGTTAGTCTTTTTATGTCATTTATGTTTGGAATGAGTTTATGTGTTGGCATGAATGATGATAATGTGTTAAGTGTGTAATGTCGATATGTTTTGATCGTGTGTATGTGTTAAGTGTATTAATGTTGTACAAAAATTCCGCCAAACAAAAATCTCCATGCAAATCTTCAAAAAAGCAACGATTATTGTTGTTTTTCCCAATTGTCTGGCATTTTTCGTGGCGGAAATTGAGTACGATGTTTGTACCGATGTTTTGATTTCAATTCGATGGATTCAAAAGACACGCAAACAAAAAAAACTATTCGCATTTTTGGTATACATTTATTTATTTTTTGTTTCTCTTCTTTTGGTTGCCCATTTCCAAATTCATCATTCTAGCAACAACACAAAATAAAAAACGTGAAGCTTTTCTAGTTCGTTCGTTGAGTATTTTGAATTTAATTTAGTTTTTTTTTTTTGGTTTATTGACTTTCTCCAACGTCTACGAAATTTTTTCGTTTCCTTTATATTTATTTATACGCCACTCACTCTCTTGTTTTTCTCTTTCTTTTCGTTCTCATCATCTCACTAGAATGCTCAAATTAATTGCGCAAAATTAATTAGTATTTAGGAGACAAATTGTTTCGGAACGCTGGATTTTTCATCATTAGTTCGTCATATTGATCGAAGCTGCGATGGTATTGGCCAACACTACCGTCGTGACCATTTTCATATTCACCATGGGACGACGAGTAACTATGTGATTGTTGTACGTGTGGATGCTTAACTATCTCATAGGTGGTTTTCTCATGACCTTCTGGTGCAACCAATTTCTTGAGACCGATGATCGCGCTGATAACCAATGCAATTTTACCAATGACTGTGGAAAATGAAAACGAAAAACAGAAGAAAAAAGAACAACATGAGATAAGCATCGATTGCAACTCATTTGAACTGGACATTCAAAGCTCTCAATGTATTGATTCATTAGTAATGGGTAAAGATGGAAAATTAATGGCAATAGCAGAAAAAAGAAAGGTGTTTGTTCATCTCTCGAATCAAACGAAAACTTACTCAATGCTTTTGCGGCAACGATAGCAATCGAGTGATAGGCCAGCTTCAAAATACCAGCTTTGATAGCCATGGCTGCCAAGAATGGTCCCAAGTACTTCTTGCGCTTCTTTCGTCCTTCTTCCACTTCGACTTCATTTTGTTCAAAGACTTTCGGTAAATTCAATTGCATTTGGAAATTGGTGAACAATTTACCAACACCGTTCATCAGTGTTGCGTCCAATTGATCGGACGATAGGCTACGAATTTCCGATTCACTTTGTATATCATTCGCCGCTGATTTGCGTTGGGCATTCGATTGGTCACGTTGCAACAGTGTCACACCGTCGACCACTTTGATCGATTGTAAATTCAATGCACGATTGACTAATTTCAATGCTTGTTGCTTTATACAACGGAAGATATCCTCCGCATTTTCACAATTTCTATAAAATTTGCTGAACGCATTTAAACTGCTGCCACTATTTTCTGCCAACGGTTTCGTATTGTGTGCATTAACTAGAACAACAAAACATAAAACAGCACAAATAATCCGCATCTTTACCATTTTGGCTTTGGTTTTTTTTTCTTCTCTTTTTTATTGATTTGTTTCAACTTCTTCTTTTTTCTCTTCGTTTTCCTTCAAACAAAACTCAAAACAAACACCAATTTTCAACACTTTTGCACACAAAATCCACACCAGCCAGAAGCTCTGCTTTGATTGAATAGTGGATGCACTATAACGGTCGCGATTCTCGCTTATCGGGGATGATGGAGACTGTGATGAGAGACAAATAAACCCAGAGACACGATGTACATCCAACGAGCGATCTTGAGCAATTGTTTCAGAGCTGCCGATGATCAGCGATTAAATAAGATCGCATTAGGGAACCAATGGTTTTAGAGCGTGTTAATGTGCATAATGATAATTGAATAAAATTTTTAGCTTCAATAAATTGCTAGAGCAAATCTATTAAGGCATAAAAATGTATTGCATTACTCTTTTCTCTCTCTCTCTCGAGCGCACGCTGTGTTAGATGAGCGCATGCGCGCGTACAACTTTGCTCGAGATTAGGTTTTTTCTTCTTCTTTTTCTTATTCTTTCTCTTCTCGGCATTGCACATTGCATTTAGTTCATTTTGTTGTTTTTTTCACGCGCTCGCGCTCGCGCACGATGTCGATGTATTTGTGGTTTTGTGCTACCGTTGATGATTTGATTAGTTTCTTTATCTTTATCTCTCGCCAATTTGATGATGAGCAACAAGGCAGCACATGGATCGATGCTATGGGGTCTGGCTGCCGTTGTTGCTGCTGCTATTGCTGTAAAGTTTTCATTTGTAGTTTTGCGAATTCGCCAAATCATTGAAGAAAAAAAAACACCACAAAATTACTCAAACACGACATACACCGCCGTGTGGCTGGCTCTCGTTCATTTCAATCGAAATCACGTGGATTTTCTATATATGCTGCTGTGTATGAGCTCGCACACCTTAATTCCGAGATGAGAGAGAGAGAGAGAGAGAGAGAGAGATAAGGCTGCGTGTTTGCGTGCCTGTTACTCGCTGGTTTAACACGTTTGCGCGTTGCAATTTCTTCGTTCGCATTTTCGATCAATTCACATGTACAAAAACGAATTATCATTTCACCATTTATTATTATGGTCGGCCGCTGGAATTTCGATGCTGTTGCTGCTGTTGGCTGGGCCGCTGCTATTTTTCTTTTGCGTTAATCGATCGAAATTACATTGAACGATATGTGGCTGTTATTATTGTCGATGTGTTTGGGAAATCATCGAAACAAAACGAGAGAAAAAAATGGATTTTTACGTATAAAAATTGTGTGTGATTGCAAGATAGGCAGCACATCAAATGGATAGAACTCATTGGCTGTAATGAATGAGTGAAAAGTAAGCATGTTAAAGCCAATATAAACAGCACCCGGTCAAAGCATATTCGTTATGGCGAGAAAGAAATGCCGTGATGAATTACATCGCATCTCGACAAGAAAGAATGATGAAAACACACGCATACAAACACACACACACCCATCAATTGTTGCTCGCATTTTCGCGACCACGAGCGCATGAGCGCCCAAACGTGCGCACGCCAAAGATCTATGTTGGGCGCGAATTAAAAATGATTTTGCACAAGAATTCGAATTCAGTTCGACACACATTGAACACACACATCCGATTTCTAAAATCGGCGGTGGCTTTTTGGAGCATGCGCTTCATCTGCTAGTATAAACGGTGAAAAGGAACCACAACGCGCAACAAAACAACAACAACAGCAGAAAAACAATTAAAGAAAACGAGAAGAATGGCTATGAAAAATTGGAGAGAAGCAGAGAAGGAGAGAGAGAGAGAAGAATTGTACACAACGCGACGCGCTTTGTACACAAATTATGCAAATTCTGGTGTTAAAAAAAATAAATGAAATATTTTACACTTTTCCTCGATTGTTTTACAAAGCCGCAGCGTGGCGATTGTTGTGAATGGGCCTTACAAGAGGTTATGCAAAAAAGAAATCATCCGATAATTTATTCGAAGCGGCTTAATGAACACAACGAATAAAAAAATTGCGTTGTTTTTTTAGTCTATTTTGGCGATGCGGAAGAACGATAGAAGGAATTGCGTTCCACGCATTCACGAGAAAGTTCAATTTGAATCGACCGCAGTCTTTGTATTCGATTTCGATGGCATCCAATGAAAGCTATTCATTGAACCAGAATGTCAAGGCAATTAAACAAAGCCCATTTTCTCCGATTGACCGATTGACTCTTTGTCACACATAAACAACTCCACATAACCTGTTCACTATGTCAATAAAACATTATACCTGTTCTCAGCCCGTCGCTTCAATCTGTCTCCTGATCTTGTGATCGCACTTGATCACGGAACTCCCACAATTCGATTTCACTCAGCCTCGATTCAATGGAGAATCATTCTATTTTGCGTGGTAATCAATTTTCAAAACGAAAATAAACGAAATCGAAAAACAAAGTGGATTTAATTTCGATTTAAGAACTTTGACATTGCCTTCTTTGCGTATGCAAACCGACCGGTTGGGAGTGTTGTTATTAATCATTCAAATGAAATTCGGGTTAAAGCCAATGTCGAAGGATCAATAGTGCAGTGAAACTTATTGGCAACTCAACAACGCTGAAGACGACAACAACGGCAACGACCATGGTGATGATGACGACAACAGCAATGAAGCAGTAGAAAGAAACAGCCAACGGCTGATAAGAATCTACATATTACAAGAGAGTCACATCAACCAGTTCTTGGCGGCGATTGTTTTACCGTGTGTGTGCGTTCGGGCGAGCGGCCAACGCAAAAGTCAAAACCTATTAATTTAATCGAGATAAAAAATATTGCAATAAATTATAATTGATGAAACACAAATTGCTTTCCGCCACACATCCGTGCATCGTGGCACGGAAAATGGTATACGTGGAAAATAGGGGGAAATATCGATTTGTACAGTCGATTCTCGTGCGCATTCCAACCGATCATTTTTCGCCCGGCAAATTGTTTTATTAAATTATCGATTGCTTTCTAAAAATGTGTGCGCGCGCACAGCGGTGGCGGGCGTTTAAGTATTGAAAAGAAAGAGAAACAATTGAACGTAGTGAAAATCAATGGTTTGGCTATCACCGTCACACGGAAATCTATCTCCAGTATGCAAATAGTGTCAATCTCGCAGTGTGTCGATGAAAGTTTTCTGCGAAGAACATTTGAAACAAAGCGTAAACGTTTCTTTGTTGATATTATCAGAGCTGCATTCTTGTTGTTGCCAGTTGAAACACGAACATGACCGTTATCTTGGCTGCCGATGCACCGTCAATTGAATTTTGATTGTGTGTTTCGCAAAAGTCAAGTGCATTTTGATAATGTTTCTCGCGCACGGACCAAACAACGGTTGAAACCATTGTGTCAATCAGCTTGCACTCAAGCCGCCCCGTTGGCTGTCCACAACAAGTGGTTCTCAAAGCGTTTGAACTACCAAACAAAAAAACATTATATTCACGTATTCGCATTAGGTTCGACGATAATTTGCACATTAGGAATTTTTCAACTCGACAATTGGGTCAATTGAATACATTTCATCGTAATCACACAAACCTTTTCCCAAGTTTTCCCAAGCCCAAATCGGCACACACACACACTGTAATTGTACGAAAAGCGCTTCAGTTTATTGAATTGTGTGTATTTTGAATGAAGCCCACAGTCCTAATTATTTCACATGAAATATTTGACGTCGATTATTGTGATTATTTCTATTTATCTTATTCCGGATGCAGTGTGTGTGTGTGTGTGTGCATGTTGTTTACAACGGGCTGAACAAAAATCTGTACAAATTGACGAACGAAATGCATACGTGTGAGTTTTTCCATTCGTCTTCTTCTTCTTCTTCTTTGTTTTCTTCATCGGTTGTTATTGTTGTTGTCGTTGTTCTGCTGGCTGGAACTGAGTCAATAATTTGCGAATCGCGATGGAAAAGCAACGAAAAAAAAACCCAACCCAACTGCACTGAAAACGACCATAACAACGAAATAGCATGGAAGAAAAGCAAACAGAGAACATCATTTATTTTGCATGAATGAAATGGTCTGGTTGCATTGAAACTATTTCTTTCTATGAAGAGAAACAACAACAAAAAAAACGATCATCTCTTTAGCTAACTGTTCCAAGATTGTTTTGATTCATTCTCTGGGTGTGTGTTGTTTGTGTGAAGAGACAGCATAGATCGTACACACACAAATCACATGTGCATATTTATCTGAAACGAACGAAAAAAAAAGATTCTTGCGGCTCGCGTATTTCGGCATGGTACAATTGCAACGAGAGAAGAAAAAAGCGAGTGCGCTCCACTCTGTTTTTATATTGTAGGCTTGACTAGGTTTCTTCTTCTTCTTAATTTCTGTACTTCGCTCACTGCTCTATGCATCTTTTGTTGGTTATTTATTTAATTTGTTGTGTTTTCTGCGCTGTGGTTTTTTTCTTCTTTCTGTGCTGCAAAATAACAAGGTACTTTGAAATAAGTAGATACTTTTTTCTGTTTATTTTTACTTGGCTTGCAAGCCAGCTAAATTGCTGGAAAGAAAAATCCCTTCCAAATGTGCCTTCATTTTTTCTTTACCTATATATAAATTTTTTCGGTTCAATGTAGGTAAAACTGTGAAAGAAATTGTGTTGCACGCTGGTACACGACGCAACCAAAGTAAACAAAGTGAAATGCAGTTAGGAGCTGTGTTTGCTGCGATCGCACATGGCCAACAATATGCAATGTGAAGCGAATGATCTTGAAATGTGCTCTGATCGGAGAGTGAGTAGTAGTGTGTAGTACAATATCGGCACCAGCATCGCGCGAATCAACACCAAAGCAGAAAAACTTATGTGAAAAATAAATGAATTGTGTGTGTACCTTGTTAAATCAGTTGGTACATGCCATGTTTGATCGCCTTTGCATGCGGGCAAACACCTCTACTGTTGCAGTAGCATTGGCTTGGCTTGGCTGCAGGTGGAATGGAATTTCGCAAGATGAAAGTCTTTCGCTTAAGTATCATGATTAAAGTCGAGTGTTATGCATTCTCAACAAGA